AAGTACATGTGCACAAATGCACACGCACGAGCCTCTGCAAACGTGCCAGACGGGCCGACGCGCTCGGAGCGGCCTCACGTCCACACCCCGCCCCGGCTACCCCCGCACTCCCCGCTGGCCCAGCTCTCGCCCGGACCCTCCTCGTCACCGCGAGAGACCCAGTCTCTACACTCACTTTCAGCTGTGTCCACGCCATGGTCCTCTCGCCACTGGGCCCGCCTCTGTGTCATTTCCATTGGAGGAGAAGGAGGGAGACCTCTAATCCCCGCCCCCAAGGCTGACAACTCACCAATCACCGGGCTGGAGGGTGGGGCCGGCGCGTCTGGGAAGAGAAGGCTTTGCTCGGCCCCTTAGGGTCTGGTTCGACCCGGCCGAGCGCGCGCGCGCAATCGCAGCGGCCACGCCTTTTCCGCCCGCCGGGCTTCCGGCGTCGGCGCTGGCGGTCGCCGAGGTGCGAGTGCGCAGGGGTCGGTGCGACCTGGACAAAAGACGACTTGTGTGGCTTCTTCAGTTGTTAGCAGCAGTCACGAGTTTTTTGATCCTTTCAGTTAGATATTTTGTTGCTATGCTTGAGCTCTAGATAAAGCGTGTATTGAGAAAGTATATGTCCGGCACCGTGAAAAGGGTTGAAGTGAATTACCGCTCTGGGTAAAACCCCTGTGTAGACTTCAAAGCAGATTCCATCAACTTCAGGTGTCACTTTAAAAATGCCTAAAACGTATGTATGTTTGTATAGGGTGTGTACGTATGTTAATGAGGATGCTGGGAAGTTAACGGAAAGTATCCTGACAGAAACCATTTCACTGCAGCACAGCCTTGGTGGACTCCTCTGCTCAGAAACCTTCCTAGCATTTGAAACGCTGCAGTTTTGTAATTTCCGTTGTCATGACTCTCTCCCAAGTACCCCCCCCCCCCCATCCACACGCGGGCGCACGCAGGATTATCTCTCTTTAGAAATACCTTCCACTTTCTCACGTCTACGCGTTTACTCACAATGACGCCTCTGCCGGGATGCCCAGTTCATCCTGTCTAAATAGGGCGGGTCTTAGAGGCTCAAGCGCTGGAGATAACTGGAAATAATTTCCACAGTTGAACCTTCATAGATTTAAGCTGTACCTCTCTAGTAGCACTTTTAAAAAATATATATATATATATATGTTTATATTGATTTCAGAGAGGAAGGGAGAGGGAGCGAGAGAGAAACGTCAATGATGAGTGGTTGATCCACTGCCTCCTGCGCGCCCCCTACTGGGGATCCGGCCGAAACCCGGGCATGTGCCCTGATGGGAATTGAAGCTCGGAGCCACCCGGCTGGGCAGGAGCACTTTCTTTATTAACTACACTTATTATGTCTTTATTAAATATCTTTATTAAATACAATTATGACTTTCCTTCCCTAATTAGACTGCAGACTTTCGAATGTAAGGACCATACCATATTAATATTTCATTTGATTACTGCAGTATTTTTACTTTTTTTTTTTTTTTAAGTCCTCACCCAAGGATATTTTCTCTATTGCTTTTCAGGGAGAGGGGAAAGGGAGAGGGGAGGGAGAGAGAGAGAGAGAGAGAGAGAGAGAGAGAGAGAGAGAGAGAGAGAGAGAGATGAATGTGAAAGAGACACACTGGTTGGTTTCCTCCTGCACCAGCGGGGGCAGGGATAGAGCCTGCAACAGAGGTACTTGCCCTTGATCAGAATTGAACCCGAGACCCTTCAGTCCAAGGACCAACGCTCTGGCCACTGAGCAAAACCGGCCAGGGCTGATTACTGCAGTATTTTTTAAACAGGGATGTATTGGGGTCTACATTTCAGAGAATTTTTAATTTTGGTGCCCATGTCCATAATGGTTTTAAAGAGTAGCTGTAAGCATCAGTAGAATAACCAACTGAACCCGGAAACCTGCCAAGTGATTTCAGTGCCCATGTTTATTTGTATCTGTGATCCGTTTTGGCACCAAGAAAGAGAACTAACTGGCTGAAAACATAAATGACAGATGTGCTACAGGTGAAGATCAAATAACATGTACGAACAAAGGTTTTTCAGCAAGTTAAAGAAAAGCAGTGAGAGAATTGGTCCTTCCCTACTGCGTGACAAATTCAAAAGAACCTACGTGGTTATAAGCCAGAACCATGTGTATCTGACAAGTGGCTATTTAGTTCAGCAAATTTGAATTTTGTTGGTTTTCACCTTTGTTTGTATTTAATTTGTATTCACTCTTTTATTAAATATTTATTCTTTGGCTTTTATGATTATATAAGAGATTTAGAATAGAGTTAAATACAAGATTTAGGGTAGAGTGAAATGTAAGAAGCAAAACAATTATTTAAATTCATGGCTTCCTTTTAAAAAAAAAAAATACTCAATTTTTAACAACACTGACTTAGATATGCATCATCCTCTACTTCCTTACCGCTTAGACTTTAGCAAATAAAGATCTATTTTAAAGCTGAAGGCATATCCAGTTGTGTAAACACAGATGGTAGTGCCCCAGCTTTAAAGGCCCATTGCTTTATTGATCTTTGTTTTCAGCTTATAGTAACTCCACCTGGGTCCTTAAAACGAAACAAAAGCTTTTGTCTTCTTGACATATTATTCCCATTTCCTAAAAGAGTAATAGTAATGAGTAAGACAAACCCACCAAGAATATAAAGGGCCAGGCAGCTTCTGAGCCTCCACACTTTTTTCACTCACATTTTACAGAGAAAATGTTCTTTAAAAGAAGAACCTGGCTTTGGTTATACATCAGAACAAGTATCATTCTAGGAAGTGAGCTAAATAGCCCAGAGCAACATGGTAAAAATAACTGTTATCAGCTTAACAGGTTTCACTGCAGCTTTGAGGAAGCAGAAAATTACTGTCATGCCCAGGGAGGACACCTTGCTTACACTTGGAACCAGGAGATTCAAGATCTCATCTGGGATTTTCTGGAAGAAGGAAAGAAGTGGTGGATTGGGCAAAATTTAATGCTGCTGGGAAAATATCAAGAAAAGAACAACTCAAGTAAGGCTCTGACGTTTGGTATTTATGAAGGAAACTTCCTTTTATTCTGGAACAGGAGAAAGAAAAAATTTAAACCTTTCTGCCTCTGTATACAGAAAAATCAGTCTCTTTACTCATTACCATCATTCCTCTGAAATATTTCCCCTTTTATGCTGTAGCCTTTGATTTGTGTGCATAGCAAAGATGATGGGATTTTCTCAGGGCCCATCAAAAGTTAACTTACCTAATATTTCACTGAAAGTATTGTGCAAGATTCTGAAGTCAGAAACCTTTTGTGGTCACTTTTTTCCTGGTAAATATCTCTTCATCATTCCTGGCTCCAAGTTTTCTAATGCAGAAACTAGGAGAGAAATTGTTTGCTTGTCTTTCTTAGATAGACATTTTCAAAATTATGCACCATAATCTTGTGGTCTTACAGAAAACTCCAGGACATTTGTCTCATAATTATCTTCATTAAAGTCTAAATAAATTAATTAAGCCTTGTGATAAAGAACACATAATATGGAAAAATAATCTATAATACGTGTAGTGAGGGAACCTAAATTTTCATATGTTGAAAGCTAGCAAATTTTGGTTTTCACATATATATATTTTTAATCATCAATGGAGGATATCCTTTTACTAAATTTAGAGAGGGGAACGGAGAGGGAAAGAGAGAGAGAGAAACATCAATGTGTGAGAGAAACATCTATTGATTTCCTCCTGTACACACCCCACCAGGGATCAAACCCACAACCTAGGTATGTTCTTGACCAGGAATCAAACCAGCAACTTTTTGGTGCATGGGACAATTCTCCAATCAACCCCAGCCAGGGCCATATATATTTTTTTTAATATTTGACTTTTTATTAACTAATGTCATTCCAATAAATTCAATAAAAAAAACCTTTTTTCTTTTTTTTTAATATATCTTTATTGGTTTCAGAGAGAGGAAGGGAGAGGGAGAGAGAGAGAGAGAAACCTCAATGATGAGAGAGTCATTGATCGGCTGCAGCCCGCAATCCAGGCATGTGCCCTGATCGGGAATTGAACTCCGATCTCCTGGATCCTAGGTTGATGCTCAACCGCTGAGCCACGCCCAGCTGGGCAAAAAACCTTTTTTTTTAATGTTTGACTTTTTAGCATGAAGCTCATCTGAGTCTGGTCTTCTTTCTGCAGGTGTCACAGCCCACTGGGCCACAAAGCCCACCAGCTGCCCTTATATGTCCAGAAAGTCCAACCGGGTCTTATCAAAAGTAGACTTGTGCTCACTGGGGCATTATTTCATCTGCCAGGCTGGTAAGTGATGAAGCTACCTGCTGCCATTGACCTAACTTTAGAAACCGATTCTAAGTAAGAGTTTATGAGAGCTTTAGTTAGCAAGCCCATGAGTGATAGACCACAGGAAGGATACAAGGACCGAGATCATTTTAGAGTGACTTCCTTACACAGCCCACTCTGGTAGATGGAAAGAGCTGTGCCTTGATGTTCCCTTTATTGCTTGACATGGGCAGAGCATGGGAGAAAGTGTATTATTGGTAGGCCTGTTTTCCACATGTAAACCCCTAATCCATTCATTACTTGGGCTTTAGAGGGAAGAGTAGGAAGCAAAGGAGGAAAAGAGAATATGGTGAAGGAAAGGGAGGAGAGGGGTGAGGAGAGTTTCATCAGTTAGAGGTTTGCTTCTTCAGAAGCAGATCAGAATTTCAGTGGGCGGGGGGGGGTGTTTTTATAATTAAGCAGTGCTTCTCTTGGTGGTTACATAACCATTTATCCTTAGCTCAGTGAATTCTCAGAGACTTTATGATGTCTCGGATTGTCTAGGTAAAAATTTTGTTTCACTTTTTAAAAAGTCACAAATACATTCTTATGAAAATACAAAGAATGTATGGTTGCTTCACAAAACAGAATACATGGCAATATTTGTTATAAGAAATATTTCTCTATTATAGTATTCTTCAAATACTGGGTATTGAAAGGACCCAGTATTTCAACGTGATGAATTTCTAGCTTCAAATCTCTCATTCTTACCCTTTCAAGCTCTTTGTGATACTTTTGTCCTGTTTTCTCCTAATAGCATCCTACTGTTACTAAGGCCAAGGTTGTGAGCCTAATCTCTGCACAAGTCTAGTGGTCATGTGTTTCATTCTCACAAACTGCACCCCTAGTACCGGCCATCTTACAGTTGTGAACTGTTTTTTCTCATCTCCAGGACTGGAAAAGCAACTCCTAAATATCTAAATGATGATGATTATGGTATTTATCTTTCACTCTCCAAGAATTGAATTTTTAGATGTTCTCAGCTACTCTTGGTTTTGGAGTGAAATGTATTTCCTGATGTTATCATTCATGTACTTGGAAGAGATTATTACTATGAAATGTAGAATGTTTGTGCAGAAGATAATCTTGGACAACATAGAATTCTATTCAATTAATCTAAGCCAATTCTGCAAATTCTGCGCCTACATTCCCACAATAAGAGGAAGTATGTTACTGCAGCTAAGAGCTCAGGCTCAAGAGTCATGAGTTCATGAGTCAGAGTCCTGAGCGCATAGCTTGTTTCTATGACTTTCCATTTGTGACACCCTGGGCAAGCAACTTAACCTCTGTGCAGCCCAGTTTCCTCTAAAGGACTGTTACCAGAATTAGGATAATACAAGTGAAGTGTTAGAACAATGCCCGGCATAATTATTACTGTTAATATTATATTATTGTGCAATTTCTATTTTTTGTTCAAAGTTTATTTTCAGCTTCTAGATAGGTTCACAATTCATGTCAAAGGTGGAAACACTTTGGAGATCCAATATTGCTAGTTACCTTTAAAACTAAAGTTTTTGTACAATGTAATTGCTCTTCCTAAAAAGAATGTATGCTAATCTTTAATTTGTGTTTTCTTGATTATCACAAATGTGCTTGTTTTATAGACTTACAGTTAGAGCTATATCCTATAAATTAACTTCTTTTCAGACCAAGATGCAGGTTATGAAAGAAATGGAAATAATTCTCATTTACATCGGAGGCCCAAGAAGACAAAAAGGGAAGTCGCAATACCAAGACACAAAATGACCTCAGGTAATGTGTAGTGAAGTCAATTACTGCCTTAAAGGATGCACAAGACAATTCATGCTGAAGTGTGTCATCAGAACAGGTGCCCAGTAAATATGCATTGCATCCTTTTTTGTCTGATCTTAATATTGCAATCTTTGCTTTTATTTTATAAATTCTTATTTTCTTTTTTTTTCTTTTTTAAATTCTTATTTTCTTGATATTCCTTTAGCCATCCTCTTCCCACATATGCCCAAATAAAAGACAAAGTTTTCCCCACAAATCAAAAAAGAGAGGCTTCTTGAAGTCTTTGCAAAGTCTTTCATTATTTTTTAATTTTGAGAAACAAATATGATTTTGGGAAGATGCATTAGCCTGAAATGACCTTAATCAATATCAGCGTTGGATGATTTTAGAGATCACCTGATAGAATGGGTGGGGGAAAAAAGACAAATTTAAAGTGGATCTAGTGATTATTAGGGATATGACCTCACAACTTCAGGTGTTAGATGTTCTTGTCAACAGCCCTTTAAGTGTCCCTTAAAAGAACAATTTAGAAAGTGTTATTGTGGTAGAGACATGAATATATATCTAAAGGACAAACGTAAAAATCAACTTTTGTGAATGCTTTGTAAATGGGACTTGTGAGTTGGGAAAAAGTGTTTAGTGAAAGCATTAGATGGAAGTAAAGATGATATATTTTGGAAAAAAATAAATCCAAAAGTTTTTCTGATTATAATTAAAGCAATGATGGTGAAGATGCATTTGAAAAGTTTTAATAAGTCTATGTCATGAAATGTGAGTTTCATGAGAACAATTTTCATATAATATATATACATACATATATATAACATGATTTTAAATATGCCTTTATAGAACTAAATAAGTAGACATTTGATGTTCCACCTATGTCCTTCAAGTTTATATAGTCAAACCTTTTTTTTTTTTTTAATATATCTTTATTGGTTTCAGAGAGAGGAATGGAGAGGGAGAGAGAGAGATAGAAACATCAATGATGAGAGAGTCATTGATCGAGCCCGCAACCTGGGCATGTGCCCTGACCCGGAATCGAACCCCAGTCGCCTGGATCCTAGGTAGATGCTCAACTGCTGAGCTACGCCCGGCCGGGCTTGGCTATTCATTTTAAATGAAAAGAATCATTTCCTACTTATCACCTTTTTTGTTACATTCTGGGAAAATGCCTCACATTTATCCACCATATCATTGATTTGACTTTTCCACATCAGTTCTGTTCTGTACTACCCCCAATGTGGATTTTAATTTTTCTGTAGCATCTTTAGTTTTCTTTAAATCCTCTGATATCGTCTATTTCTCTTTTAATCGATCTCATTCTTGTGCACTTTAGTTTCATTTGATTTATTTTCAAGACTTTCTGTTTTTATTAAGGATGCTAAATAGCTTTGTGAATTTTTTTTTATTTTGCTGTTGGTAATTTTCAGAGGTACATTCCCCCCGAGTCCTCTGGGTTTAGGTCCTAGGTTCTGTGATCATTACAAGGTCTCTTTTGTTTTTGATTTTTCCTTATCTTTGAAGGCAAGACCTGCCCAACACTGTGTTTGTCAGGAGGCCAAGCAACTGGGTCAGCCTTAGTTCAGCAGCCTCTTGGCTTATCTAGTGATCATAACCCCTCTTCAGAGCTACAGCTGACGTGCAGGGTCAGTTCCCTGCACCCAGCAAGCTAATAGCCCTGATCTGAGCTGACATTTTGCTCAACTTTACCTCCATTGTTTTAATTTTCACATTGTTAGATATTATTACACCCATTCTGCAGATGAAAAATTAAGAGGTTAAGTCATTTGCTTGAGGCTTTATAGTTTGCAGTAAAAGGCAAATCAGCTCTGGACTCCAAGTCTTTTTTTTTTTTTTTTTTTTTAATGCTTTTATTGATTTTAGAGAGAAAAGAAAGAAGAGAGAGAGAAAAAACATCAATGTGAGAGAGAAATATCGATTGGTTGCCTCCCATACACACCTCGATCAGGGACCAAACCTGCAACCTGGGCATGTGCCCTCACCAGGAATCGATCTGGCGACCGTTCAGTATCTGGGACGATGCTCAGCCAGCTGAGCCACACCAACCAGAACAAGGACTACAAGTCTTTTGAATCCAGTTTCTTTCTTCTACCCTCCATCCTGTTTGTCTTGATAGAAAGACATGGCATCTAATCAGAAGAACACCTCAGAACTCTGTTCTCCCCCAACAGTCGTGGTTGCAGTGATTCTCCTGCTAAATATACATGTCATTCCCATGAACAAGTGAGGGAACGTTACAAGAAAAGATAGAAAGGGCAAAGTAGGCTTGCTGTAACCAGGTATAATTTAATGGCATAGACGCTAATAATGCCTTGAAAGGAGTCAACCTAATAGCAAATAGGCATGTTAACACACTGATGTCACCTTAGAGAATGGTTTTCTTACTGGAAAATGTGAAAAGAGAATGAAAGCAATAATGATGGTTTGGTAAAATGTTGTAAATGATCATTTTCTAAAAGTCTATCAGAAATATGCTCTGATTTATTATTAATGAGATCCTACATTTTGTAAAATTCTGAGACAGATATTTCTGCAGTAATGATTACATACTGGCACCTTTATGACTGATTTTATTTAATATTTATCTTTATACCGAGGGTCTTTGAAGAGTAAGCACAGAGACGACGTTAGTGATTTGTAGTGCTTTGGCCTCAGAATTCTAGCTGTCTGCAACTTCAGCAGTGGGAAATGATCACTCTGGTTTCCTATGTGATTCGCGTTTTTAGCCAAGAATAACAAATAAAATAGGAAGAAATATTTATATCCCAGGGTTTTACTTGAACTTAATCTACTTTTTTTCTGCAGGAGCCACTCATCATTCAACTAAATGTCACCAACCTGCTCCTGATAATCCTGTAAGTCCTTAACCTTCACAATACACATCTTGGAATACTGTTCTCTTTGTCATTCCTGGGGGGGCCCTGCCAGAGCTCCACTCTGTCTCATAGAGTGCTCTGAATTATAGTTTTCTAGTAAGGAAAGGCAAGTGCTTGAGTGCAGCAAAGAATTAGGTTTAGTGGATTATTTATTTTAAAAGATTTTAAAGCCTGTCTTTGGCCTTTGTGTTGGTATTATTATCTTTTGTTGGTTGTTTCTTTATTCCCCGCTTCATTTCAAAAAGGACTTGTGGCATCTTAAAAATATATATACAAGGTAATAAAATTGTTTTAAAAAATTAAAGGGGCCCAGCCAGCATGGCTCAGCAGTTGAGCATCGACCTGGGATCCAGGAGAACATGGTTCGATTCCCCATCAGGGCACATGTCTGGGTTGCAGGCTCAGTCCTCCCAATAGGGGGCGTGCAGGAGGCAGCTGATGGATGACTCTGTAGACTATACTTCATTATTTGGTTAAAATCAGATTTTGCCTTTTCCTGTTACATATTTTTATCTTTTAGTCCAAGACCCTGTGCCATTCTATCAGCCCTTTTCCTTCAGACCTACCCACAGTCACAAAGCAGGGACTGTTAGTCACTCCTCTACCTACTGGCCAGCCTCTCCCTGTGATGGCAGAGCTCACCAGACCTGTGTCTGTGACACGTGCTGGAAAAGCTCTGGTAGAAAGAACTTCAAGCCCCAAAGAGGGCTCACATCCAGACGTCTCCACCACTCATCTACAAACATCGTTTCAGGACGCATCTGATCAGGTAAATCAGAAGCATGGAAGTCACAACTGGGTACACCCATGACACTGAAACAGCACTTTTATTCTTTCCTTCTGTTTTGGTGACATTTTCAGGAATAATGATGCTAGAAAGGAGCCTAGTTCACCCTTTACCCCCAACCAGAACTATACCTGGGAATGCCTGGTCAGACAGGCATATACTCTGAGTAAAAGCAAAACCCAAACAAGTCCATGAAAATACTCCACAGTGGGTTTTATACTCACTTCAGTTTTTAAGGCCTTATTACTATTTAATACCATTATATTTATCGCTTCAGATGAGGAGGAACATTTGTTCACCTGCCCCACTTTTTTAGGGGCAGCAAATCCCCTGGACACTGCCTCCAACTCACCCTCTCAACTCCTTTCACCTTTGTTCCCTTTTCCACACAAACTGAAAAAATAGGCAAAACTACTTTAACAGTGTTTATTGAAGAAATTCGTCCTGCTTCTCCTTATCTTTTTTTTTTTTAAAAAAAACAACAACTACAAGCCCTGCTTATATGCAGTCTAACATTTCCCTGTTAGACAAGAATCCTGTTTTCTCTGGATCTGCTTTCATTGGTAATGGAAACTAGATGTTCACTATTGTTTCACTTAGCATTGTGTCCTGCTTGGGAAAAAACTGTCTGCGGTAGTTTAAACGAAGAGTATTTGCCTTAAATAGAAATCTGAAGTACAGTCTACAGATAAATTATTAGAAATATTAAGAGAATTTAGAGATGTTACTGAATACCAAATCAGTATACTAAAGTTAACTGCATTATTACATATCAGCAGCAATCAGTTAGAAAATTTGATTTTTTAAAACAAGATATAATAGCAAGTACCTAGGAATAAATATTACCAAAGATGTACAAAATTTCTATAGAAACAACTATAAGGTTTGATTGAGAGACATTAAAGAAAGGCTAAGTAAATGGTGAGATCTGCCATGATTCAGCCCAGGTTACACATTCTGCTCTAAAATATCAGGTAAGACATCCTCAGTGACCTGCCTGGCAATAGCTAGAATGACACCAAGTAGGGCCTGACCTGCATGGCAGATGTGCAGTCGGGTGGCAGCTGTGTCTTACTTATATCTTCATTCTTTCTTATTTACATTTCAGTCCCAAAGCATAAAACCAAAATTGGGTGGTCCTCAGATCTCTCTATAACTCATCCAACCTCTTATACACCCTGTGAATCAGGAATAACTCTGTTCAATTGCATGGTCCATGAGGGTAGGATCATAACTGACTTTAACTGCTCCAACTCCTGAGCCTAGCAATGCACAGTAGGCACTTAATAAGGACTTATTGAATACTTGACTGAATTAAACTATATGTAGGTTGTTCTCTAGAAATTGGACAAAGTAGTTGGTGTAAAGAGATTGTCCAAGGGTTGGACTTCCAGTTCAAAACAAGTAGCCTCTTAAGCTTTGGGACCATGCCCAGTGTTCTGGTGTTTGTTTTCCCACAGAGGTTTTCTGCCCTCCACCTCCTGCCCAGTGGTATTTCAAGGACTTCCCTCTTGAACATGAACTCTTGAGCTGAGGGAAATACAATGGGAAACCTGAGGGGATAAACATACTTCTGAACAAAAAAATTTTGTTGTTTTGAATTTCAATTTTTCCACACTTTTGATCATGGCCTTAGACTCAAACTTACTCTTATAAATCTTATTTCCAGACTCATTTGTCCTTGGATCAACATTGTATATCTTTGTTACCCATTTTCTCTACTGTACAGAAGAGGTAAAAATAAATTTTGTTTGCAGAAAAGCTTCAGAAAGTAATAAGTGTTATGGAAAGCCAGTGATTCATAGAGCTTGTAATGTCATCAAAGGTCAACTCTCATTAAAACAACATCTCAAACTACTAAAGTACAATAATTATATACAAATAATTTTGACAAAATTATTCCCAATAGGTCACGGATGAGATAGCATGGAACTTCAGCAAAGCAATTCATGGTTTGGAAACGCATGACAAACTGCAGAAAGCTTGTGAAGTGCTCCAGAAGCTGACAGACATTATCCCAGGATTTTCTCAGTCAGTTCAGGTAAGCAGGGGTTGATTGGGAGGAAGTAAGATGTGAGAGAGGGAAAGTGAAAAACAGAAAAAGAGAAAAAGCAAAATAAAATAGAAAACATATAATCTGGAAATTGTGTTCTGTGCAGAATTTAGCATTATAAAGCTATTTTGTGGAGACTCAATTGAAATATTAGGAAGTATATTTGTACTTGCTAATCTAAAGATTGGGCCCTAGCCAGGTAGCTCAGTTGGTTAGAGTGTCACCCTGATACACCAAGGTTTCAGGTTTGATCCTCTGTCAGTGAGAATACAAGAAGCAACCAATGAGTGCATGAATAAGTGGAATGAATCTCTCTCTCTCTGCCTCTAAAATCAATAAATTTTAAAAACTATATATTAAGGCGACTCTCTCTGTGTAGCACACCGTAGCCTTTCCCCACACCCTCCCCACCAGGTGCATTTTCCTTGCCCCTCTTTCCTAAACTCCAAGGGCCCTTCTTTTGCCTCTGTAACTTATTTCCTGAGCCCATTTATCCTACAGCCCACTGTTCCCTGGCTCTTTATTTGTTTGTAAGAGAGCTTTATTTATTATTGATATTAACCTTTTGTTATATATGTTGCAAATATTTTGTGCCCATGTCTTATTTTCTCTCTCTCTCTCTCTCTCTCTCTCTCTCTCTCTTTCTCTTTCTTTCGTTCTTTCTTTCTTCTCATCCTTACCCAAGGATATGTTTTTTATAGATTTTAGGGAGAGAGAAAGAAACATCAATCGGTTGCCTCCTGTACGAGCTTCAACCAGGGATCAAATCTGCATCCTGGGTATGTGCCCTGACCGGGAATTGAACCTGTCACCTTTTGGTGTATGGGATGATGCTCCAGCCAACTGAGCCACCTGGCCAGGGCTTAACTTTGTTTATTTCTTATTTTTATACTTATTTTTGTTATTTTATTTTTTATATCTTTTATTTTGCAGGTTTTAGTAAATGTAACTTTGCAAATAAATAACATTTCAAAACAAAAGTTGTAGTACTTATGGTGAATATTTAGTAAATATCTGTCAGTTGGTTCATTTGACTTGTTTTACATGAGAATATGCTACAGGAAGGGGAATTGGTATTTTCTGTTTCATTTAGAACATTCTAGGACCTTGAATGCTTTTGAGGCCCTAGATACAAAGGGATAGCCTACCCAGTATTTCAATCAGCATTGTTCTTTGGCATTCCTTTTCTAAGCTCAGTTTTGTTAATTAGATATTTGCTCCACTTACCACTCAAAAAGGTTATGTCCCTTGCTTATAGTAACCTGAAATATGAGTCCTTCCCATAGGTGATATGTAATAGTGTATTTTCCTTCCTGCCACATTGTAATATTCCTTCATATAAAACTGTGTTTGAAATGCGTGAAGAACATTGAACTCCTTATCAGAAGAACACAAGTAAATTTAAAGCAGTCGTGAACAGCTCAGGAATGTATGTTTGCTGTTTGAAATTCCCAGGTTGATGCTGTTGGCTCCCTTATTGACCTGAGTGACCAATTACTGAGAAGCCCATTTCAGAACAACAGCACTCTGGGCTTCACAATTCCTGTGGCTGTCTGCGTCTTTCACCCCCTCGACAATGTAGTAAAAGCTGATAAAGCAAGTGGGCCACAATCCAGCCATGACATTGAGCAGGTAGGTGTAGTATATACTGGTGGCCAAGTCTCCTTAGAAAGTTTTTAATCTTGGCAGATCCAGTTATCACACAGCCTGTTCCAAGACTCTAAATAGAACCCAGCTAGGTGTGCACCACTGAAATGACTGCTCTGTGAAGGCTGCTCCTGATCCTTCTCTCTACCCCACCAGTGAACCAAGTCTACCTAATGCTGGTGAAAGAACTTAGTGAAGTGCTTGGCACACAGAACACTCAGTAAATTACATTTGCTGTGCACATGAGAAGATGTTCAACATTATTAACCATTAGGGAAATGCAGTTGAAACCATAATGAGATACCACTTCACACCTAATAATAACAAGTGTTGGCAAAGAGGCAGAGAAACTGGAACCCCCATACAGTGTTAGATTGTAAGATGATACAGCTACTTTGCAAAGCAGTTTGACGGTTCCTCAAAATGTTAAAAATAGAATTAGCATGTGACCTAGCAATTCCACTCCTTGGAATGGACCCACATATATCCACACTGAAACTTGTACAATCATGTTCATAGCAGTATTATTCAATTAGCCAAAGAGCCAAAGAGTGGAAACAACCCAGATGTCCATGATCTGATAAATGGATAAATAAAATGTGGTATGTCCATAGATGGAATATTATTCGGCAACAAAAAAGAATGAAGTACCGATACATATTACAACATGATGAACCTTGAAAATACTATGCTAAGTGAAGAAGCCAATCACAAAAGACCATATATTATGATTCCATTTATATGAAATGTTCAGAAGAGTCAAATCTGTAGACAGAGTGTAGATGAGTGGTTCCCTAGGGATAGAGGAGATGGGGACAGGAGGTTGGACAGTGCCTGCTACTGGGTTCTGCATTTATTTTAGGAGAGATAAAAATATTCTAAAATTAGATCCTGGTGCTAGTTGCACAACCCCATGAATATACCAAAAAACAATGAATTGTGTACTCTAAATGGGTGAGTTGTATGCATGAATTTCATTACAAGCTTTTTTAAAATATAAAAACCTATCATAAGTAGATCTAGGGCAAAGAAATACATATTTCCTTGGTTGGCCCTCTTAGTGATATGAAGGGTGCTGAGTCTTTAGCCAGACTACAAGTACTTTCTATGGGTTCTCTCCAATGAGTGTCACTTTTCATTACATCATTGTCAAGATCCCTGTTGCCCTTCCAACCCCCTCAAAATCGTTATTTCACTAACACAATACACTGGTTACCCAAGTCACAGGATATTTCCATCTAAATGTAGGTAGAAAATATTCTGAAAATGTCCTTGCTGGCCCTTGGGGAGATCCAGGAAACATTTCTGCACCAGCATCAGTTTTCTGAGTCTTCGGTGACTTTGACCTCTTCCATTGCCACACTGATGTTGAGCAGGTAACACAGGAGGAAGGAATGGAGAGAGTTGCGTTTTGGGTTTTTGACCTTTAAAGAACACACATAGATTGATTTCCATTTAACTTCTTTTTCATTAGCCAAAACATATCGACTCTGCCTCTGAGCTCTTACACTCTTGGATACCCAGCACCTGTGAGGTTAGCCTTCCCGTCAGCTTCAGCTTTGGAGGAGCTCTTGAATAAACACCCAGGAGTTAACGTTCAAGTGAGTATGAAATTGATTCTGACCAGAATGAAATGAGGTTTGGTGGCTGTAGGCATTTGGGTGACAAGAATGCACCATGAAATGTTAGCTAACCAGACCAAATGAGAGAAGATTGTGTGCTGTTAATTTCTCTTTTACTAGCAGGATTGAAGGCCCTAAAAATGATCCAGTAGAGAGATTGGGAGTATTAAACAGACTTTTAACTAAATGTCTATTATGATGTGAATTGATCTCAACTCTTCACTCATAATACAAAGCTGGGAATATCTGAATAATTACTGATTCAATATGCCGACCTAGTCATATCAGTACATTGTATTTTTTCAGCAATTACCTAACAAACAGAAGTGGGATTATTGCCTTATCCTGGAGAACAGAGTACTCCCTGGTAAAACGAATCCTCTAGGTATAAAGATGTAAAAAAAGTAATTCTTAGGGTCACAAGTAAATGACTTATCTTTAACTAATTCTTTCTCATGTGATCTTATAATGAGCGATATTTCATTTGAGATATTAGCAAGGTGGAAAATCCCAACATTTACTTTAATTTATGGTATCTGATTACCCTATTACTGATTGGGGTGTTATGTATAAATATTTTTGGTAATTGCTGAAACTAGAGTTTTCTTGTCTCTAGGTAACAGGACTAGCTTTCAATCCCTTCAAGGATTTTGATGACAAGAACATTGTTGGAAGTGTCGGAAGTGTGTTACTAAGCTCTAATCATAAATTGCTCCAAGTACATGATTTAATGGAAGATATTGAGGTATGACTTGATTATGAGGGAGTAAAACTGAAGGGAATAGGAATTCCTGGAGAACAGCATAGAAGGCTGCAGCACCTTGAAGGAAGTCATGTGAGATTTATGACAGTGTCATTCTTTTTATTATTAACATCTTTACTTAGGAACTTGTACAAACTTATCCTTAAGCTGTATACTCTTCCTTAACCCCTGACACTTTGTTACCTACTAAAATTCAAAGAGGAAGACCTAGGAAGTTTCATTCCATTATCACTATAGAGGAGACCAAAAGGCATCAATGGGTGGGCCATCTTAAACTTGAAGAGTGATGAACTATCTTTTATCCTAGATCATGCTCTGGAGAAATGCAAGCATAGAAACCCACCCCACAAGCATCAATGTGAGCGCAGACCATTTTACCATCGCCGTGAACATCACATCCCTGGAGAAATCCCTGATCCTGTTCATAGAGCCTGAAAGCCCCATTTCAGTGACACTCTACCTGGGGTTCCAGTATCAGCCCAACCACACTTACTTCCACCTGAACATCACCCTTCCAAAGACCCAGGTGCGGCAGAAAGGTAAGACCCCCCTCAGATGTCAGCAGTTTACTACTTTGAAATGCAGTTTTTCCTTTCCTTTTTAAGTTAACTTCTTATTTTGAGATAATTGTATATTCATATGCAATTGTAAGAAATAAAACATCTCATATACTTGTCACCCAGTTTCTCCTAACGATAACATCTTGCTTAAATATGGTGCAAAATCACAACCAGGAAATTACATTGATACTAATGCATTGATCTTTTTCAGATTTCACTATTTTACAAGCACTCGTGTGTGTGTGTGTGTGTGTTTAGTTCTATGTAATTTTATCACATGTGTAAATATATGTCACCACGAGATGCATTTTTAAAAAGATGGATTGTGGGATGGATAGAAGGATATATATGTGACAAAGAAAATTTAGTAAAATGTTAATTATAGAATCTAGTTAGTGATTCTGTGGATGTTCCTATAAAATTCGCTCAACTTTCTATATGGTTGAAAATTTTCATAAAATGTTGAGACTCTTGCAGAAGTTGCAGCACAATGAGTCATATATATTTCAAACTTTATATATTATAGATGAATATGTATATGCAATATGTCACTTATATTTCAACTTTATTTCCAATCTTAGATAATGCCTGGAGATAGTAAGTCTTGGTATAAGATCAGAATGGCTATATTGCAGTTTAGAAAAGTTAAGAATTTCTGAGAGATATATACATGGTTAAAAATTTCTGAGATATATAGATAGTGCCTGGAATATACTTGACCAAAAAACTTTAAATGTAGTACTGAAAAGTCTTAATAAAGAGCTACCCTTTTGCCTTAAAAACTGTTGAGAAAAATACCCAGAATGGATAAAGCATGTGATAGTCTCTCTTTATGACCATTGACCCATATTGAATGAGCTTCTTCTGGCTCTGGCATAGGCCTTGCAAACACAGAAATGATCACTTTTTAAGTGACTCTACCCTTTAGAATTTAGACAAAGCACCCGAAGCAGTATAGCTGGGCTGCCAGCTACAAAGTTCTGTCTGCATTACCACCAGGCTGTTTCCCAAGTCAGAACATACACTTTGTTCTTCTTGCTGATTTTGGCAATAACAGTATACCATTTGGGGCTGGAAGAAGTCTTAGAGATCCTTTAGTTTAGACTCCTTGTTTGAAAGATAAGAATACTAGAGAGATTGGGTGACTTGCCCTTGACAGCCACCTGGTGACAGAGCCAGGCCTGAAATCAGGCCTTTGGCATGCAGTCCAGGCTCCTTCCTGGAACCACTCTGTTCCTATCCTTGCTTCGTCCTTGGGTTTCTTTTGTCACCTAGGTCTTCTACCTACTAATTTTGGTGTGTGATGATTTCATTTTTCTGAAACTCTTAATACATTCTAATTCCTTAGACTTAAATTTCCATTTATCAAAAGAATATGATTTTTTATTGCAACAGAAGTTATCCAGAGTCCTGGATTATATCACTGGTCATTTTTTTAAAAATCATTTGTGACTCTAGGCTTATTACTTTGTAAAATAAAATAACAATAGGCCCTTCAGATGAAAAGGTGTATTTTCCTCCCATGTGCCATGCAGTTAAGCACTCTGCTTTGTTCTCAGATGAGGAATATACATGGGTGCTGACTCCAGAGAGTTTGCAGTATGGGATCGGCATCTACTACATAACTTCTGTGTTGAATAAAAGCAAGGAGGGTGCTCAGCAGGTGCCCACCCTGTTCTCCATCGTAACTGCCGTCACTCAGTGCTATTTTTGGGACAGCCACAACAACACGTGGAAGAGCGACGGATGTCAGGTAGGAAGCTGTGCCACTTCCCTGTCTCTTGTCTACCTTAGCTGGCATTAAACACGGTGCACCTGTTATCTCATTTCCCTTCAAAATCATAGAAGGGAGCCCTGGCCGGGTGGCTCAGTTAGTTGGAGCATCATCCTGTGCACCAAAGGCTTTATATTCATTTTAACTGCTGTATAGTATTCCACCAGTTTGCCTCTACTCATATATTTATGTTTGTATGTTCTGCTGTTAGTAGATATACAGGTGTCTCCGATTTTTTAATACTTGTGAGCAGTGCTGACAGAAGCATTTTTTTCTTGTCTCCTTGTGCACATGTGTGAAGTTCCCCTCCACCATACAATCAGAACTGGAATCCCTGGAGTCAAAGGGTTTGTGCGTCTTCAGCTCTATTAGATATTGCCAAACCACTGTGCACATTGGTTATACCAATTTACACAGTGAATAAGTGCCCCAGACATTCCTTTCCCTTTCTGAATTGCCTGTGTTTATATTTTGTGTCTGTCCCTTCCTTAGCACTCTGTTCAGTTAGCATCCATGTCTTGATTCTAATTGCAGGTTGGGCCACAGAGCACAGTTGTAAGGACACAGTGTCTCTGTAACCATCTGACCTACTTTGGCAGCGACTTCTTCATCGTGCCCCGGACAGTGAATGTTGAAGACACGATCAAGCTATTCCTTCGTGTGACCAGCAACCCTGTTGGGGTGTCATTGCTGGCCAGCCTTTTGGGATTCTATATGCTCCTGTTTGTGTGGGCTTGGAGAAAGGATCAAGCAGATATGCAGAAGGTGATGAGACTTTGATCCCAAAAGTTTTGCCACAGTGTTTTGAGTATGTTGAACAAGATGGAAAAAAATACTTTCATCAAAAGGAGCAGGTTGCGTGATTCTAGGTAGTGTAGAAATTCAAGTGCTACTTTTCTTAAATTTCTCTTTATATCTACTCTTTCAAGGTTTAGGAGCTTAACTCTTTATCGCTTTTTTTTTTTTTTTTTTCTTTTAGCCAAGGTTGAATTCTTATATGATTCATACAAAAACACCTAGAGAATTTAACTATAACCAAATGCACATTTATTTCACTTTATACATTGGACATGAAAAGTTATGTGTAAGTCAAATTATAATTTAATGTAATAGCAATATATAAAAAACCTGAAAGAAATCTTTTTTTGAAACAAAATATACTTAATGATTGCGTGTTCTTACTTTCTGTTCTATTTCTTTCTTACCCTTGTGTTTTCTCACACTTGGAAATTGTAGAATGCACAACATGTTCATTTCTTTGTTGCCTTGGGTATAAGATTGCCAGTTTTAGTAAATAAAAATACAGGACACCCAATTAAATTTGAATTTCAAATAGTGAGTGCATTTTTAGTATAAGTATGCCCCAGATTATTCAATGTTTGTCTGAAATTCAAGTTTAACTGATTGTTTTATGTGTTATCTACCTGGGTGGGAGGGAAGTGGAAAGATTTAGAGGCCCAAGACCTGATTGATTCTATGACTATTTCATTTTAGAGGCATAACCCCTGGACTTTCAGCCCTCACCCCTCCCCCTTATCACTTAACTTAGGTCTATTTGTTTATTGTCTGCTTACACCTCACCTTTGCTTTCCATACAGTGGCCAAATCTGCAGCAATGCATCCTCCTGTTTCTCAGCTGGAGGAAGCTGCTCCACTGGACTAAGTAAAGGTCAGCCAGTGTTCTTGGTTCTGCTTTTCCTGCAGGTGAAGGTCACTGTCCTGGCTGATAATGACCCCAGCTCTCAATTTCACTACCTGATTCAGGTCTCCACTGGATATCGAAGAAGGGCCTCTACAACAGCTAAGGTTAATGAAAAAAATGTTCTTCATTCATTGCTCTGTGTCCTCTACTGTGTGAGATACACTCTGACCTGGTGATATCCGGTGTCCTGTAGCATTTACAAAGCATCACAGAGAGATATTTCCTAGTTCTAAACTGTAAATCTGAAGAATCCTCTGTACTTGTCTAAGATCCCAAAGACTTCATCTCAGTCCAGTTTCTCTGTCTTCATGGTTCTCCTTGGTGATATACCCAAAGAACCAAATAATCATGTTAGAACTTCTGTATTTTGTCTTTCCTTGTTTTAGGTGGTTATCACCCTTTATGGTTCAGCAGGACGGAGTGAGCCCCATCACCTTTGTGACTCCCAGAAGGCAGTGTTTGAACAAGGGGACTGGATGTCTTCCTCCTCGGTACTCGGTCCTCTCTGGGGGAACTGCACAGCCTCCGGCTCTGGCATGACAATTCAGGTGTCAGCCCAGCCTGGTAAGCACCTGTATCATGCTGGCTTGTGGTTTCTTCTCTGTGGGTTCAGCATTCTGGGGCAAGTCCAGCATGTCATCACAGTAAACAACAGCAATGCCTTGAACCAAATAGTAACAAGTTAGATTTAAATTTAAGCCGTCTATAAAGAAGAGACCCTGGAGATCAATGTGGAAAATTAACAATAGGATTTTTTTTGTGGATGGAAGAATGATAGATGTTTTTTCTTTTACTTTCATTAAATGTCATACTGTGAACAACAAATAATTACAAGGAAATATTGCCCCAAAGTACCATGAATTAAAAGTATCTCTAAATATGAAAAATATATGTAAAGAGTAAATTCAGTAAACAACTATGTCCTGAATACTGGGCATTGGGTCAAAATTAAGAGCTTAAGGAGAGATGAAAAGTGGAATCATGGTATGGAATGTGCCTAGGGAGTCAGAGAGAGGAACATTCAGTGATGAGCATATGATTCTGACAAGTGCTGGGTCCAGCTGGTTCTGCATCTCTCCTCAGCAGCACCTTGGGAATTAGGAGAGGCAGGTGGAGAAAGCAGATGATGAAATTAATTAAGGGTAGAGATTATTGGTTGGTTGGGGTTAGGAAAAAAGGGAGTGAAGTCAAAGATCCAAGGCTCAGGTACTCAGAGGCATCAGTTGCTGAATCCTGTCCACTCTGGAAAGAGTATGCTGCTGCCTAAATTAAGTCTTGCCCTACTAGGCTACGTGCACCAGCCACTAAGCCAGTAAAGCCTAATAATTTGCTTGCTGCTTCCATTCTGATCAGGTGTGTCCAAAACAGTTTGTACACCATCATCCCAGTTTTGTTTATAAAGGTGAGTAATATATAACAAGGACTTGAGAAGATGCTCAACTGCATTAGTCATCAGGAAATGCAAATTGAAACCAGTGAGATGCAAATTAAAACCACCCACCAGCATGACTAAGATTTAAAAGTCTGACAAAACCAAGTCTGGGTGAGGGTGGGGATGGCTCACAAACACTGGCAGGAGTATAAAGTGGTGCAGCCACACCGAAGAACAATTTGTCAGTTTCTTGTTCAGGTAAACATACATCTACCATATGACCCAGACATTCTGCTCCTATGCATTTACCCACAATAAGTGGAAAAAAAGTCCATTCAAGGCTTATACACATATGTGCATAGCAGTTTTATTGTTAGTCAAAAACCGGAAACAACACAAATGTCTATTAGGTGAATAAACAAATGTTAGCATATTCGTTCGATGGAGAACTACTAACTGACGAAAAGAACAGTCTGCTGATACACACAACATGGATGCATTCCCAAAAATATGCTAAGGGAAAGAAGCCAGGCACAAAAGAATACATGCTGTGTGAATCCACATACACGAAATTCCTAAAAAAGGCTAACTACTCAACAGAGACAGAATGCAGGTCAGTGGTCACCTGGGGCCAGGGGTGAGCCTCTTATTTTATAAGATAGAGGCAGATGCGATGCTTTTAGAGGTGGCAGGGCACCGTCACATGTGGAACCAGGAAGCTTGAAGAGTACATACACATGGGACTATTCATAGGTTACGGAATCTGCATTCTGGTGTTCGGTACATGAACTCCCTTAGACACTGGGAAGGGAAAATGGGATCAGCTCTTGTTTCTTTCTTTAGCTCTTGCCTTGCAATGAAACAGAATCCACTGACAGTGCAAGATTACTTTTTTTTAATTGTGTGTTTTTTTTAAGTATAATTGACATACAACATATTAGTTTCAGGTGTACAACATAACAATTCAAGACTTGTATGTTTTGCAAAATGATCACCACAATAAGTCTGGTTAACATCTGCCACCATGCATAGTTACAGATTTTATTTTCTTGTGCTGAGAAATTTTAAGATCTACCCTCTTAGCAACTTTTAAATATGCAATACAGTATTATTAACTATAGTCGCCATGCTGTACAGTATGTCCCCATGACTGACTTGTTTTATAACTAAAAGTTTGTACCTTTTGACCCCCTTTACCCATTCCCCCCCAACCCCCTATCTCTGGCAACCACAAATCTGTTCCCTGTATCTCTGAACTTGTTTTTTGGGGAAGTTGTTTTTTGTGTGTTTTTTTAAGGTTCCACATATAAGTGAAATCATATGGTCTTTGTCTTTCTGTCTGACTTATTTCACTTAGCATAATAATGCCTTCAAGGTCCATCCATGTTACAAATGGCAGTTTCATTCTTTTTTATGCTTCTGTGTGTGTGTGTGTGTACACACCACATGTTAATCCATTTATCCATCAATGGACATTTAGGTTGTTTCCATAAGATTGCTGTTTATTACAACCAAATTGTGCCCACCTCGCTAACATGATTATCTTCATTTTACTATAGGTATGTAAGCCAGGTCATTGTCAGTGATGTGGCAAGTAACAGGAAATGGCATTTCCTATGCAATTGTTGGCTGGCGGTGGACCTTGGAGACTGTGAGCGTGACCGGGTCTTCTTACCAGTCTCAAAGAAAGAGCTCTTTTCCTTTGGGTATTGTTGGAAAATGATGGTGTTTTACAGATCTCTGAAGCTCTATTCATTTTTCTTCATACTTTATTCTTTCTGTTTTTCAGACTGTATAATTTAGATTGACCTATCTTAAAGTTTGCTGATTCTTTCTCCTGCCTCCACACTCATCTCTGATGAGTAGTTTTGCTGCTGTTTCCACCCAACCCTTCACATTTCTAGAACTAGGCCTTATTACACTACAGCATTTTGGAGCTCCTGTTCCTCAATGAAGTCAGTGTAGCTAGGGCTATTGCAGATCTTGTCATGAACCCCTGGGTCTCTCTGCTCAATTCCTAGTCTTGGGGCTGTCTTTCGCCCACCTCTCTGCCTATAAATGTGTAGCTCTATGGCAGTTTTTTGTTCTGTAGTATCGTTTCATAAATTCCAGCCTCAGCCCTGGCTTCAAGCAGTGAAGATGGCATTACTCTCCCTTTTCCCAGTCTTTGAAACGCTTTTAATTCCAGTTACCCTACAAGAGTCAACCTCCCACCCATGTCCTGCCTTCTTCTAGACCTGGAGCCCAGTAATCCTGCGGTTTCTTCCCCCCTTGTTTTCTCATTCCATTTCTCTTCCTCTGAGATATTTATTTTGTTTTTAAGCCCAGCCAATATTTTGGTTCTTCCTTTTTATATCTTATTTATAGTTGCTCCACATTTGCAGTAGAGAATGTGCTACTCAGCGGAATCACCATGTGCCTTTGTTTTTCTTTTGCTGCCCTAACTTTAGAATAACAGACTTTCTCACTGTTCTCAGTCATTAGTAAATGAAGGAGCTGTGCAAAATATGAATTTACCAAACTATCTTGAGTGGAAGCCTAATGCAGACTTCTGAGAAGTGAAAACATTTGTCAAAACCCTTAAAAGAAATAAATATATTTTGAAGAATAAAATAAAAAATGAATTTTTAGATGAAGCAAAAACAAAAAACAACTCTTAAAAAGCTAAAACAACAGTTTTTAAAATCTCACATAACGTAAATTAACTTTATCCTCAAGCACTTTTTATCCTAAAACAACAAAAGAATCATAGTATCACTCACGTGAAAGCATCTTCACAGAGGTGTGGGGTAGTGGCGGAGTTGTTGCTATGTAGCTGGTTGCCAGGGAAACCACTTCTTGGTCCAGGGCACTTTCAGAACCAAACCTCATGTCTCTCCTGTTCTCATTTATCTTTTTTAGACACCTGTTCTCCTCCATGGTTGTGGAAAAGTTCACCCAGGATTATCTGTGGCTTTCAATTGCTACTCGCCATCCCTGGAACCAGTTTACGAGAGCCCAGCGGCTCTCGAGCTGCATGACCCTTCTGCTCTGCAACATGGTCATCAACCTGATGTTCTGGAAGATAAACAGCCCCACCACCCAGAGAGACGAGCAAGGTCTGGATGAGCCCTGTTGGGTTTGCTCATGGCATGTAATCCTTTTACTCTGCCCCACTCTCCTTCCTCTCAGGTTAGAAGCAGAATCAGCGGAATCACCATGTGCCTTTGTTTTTCTTTTGCTGCCCTAACTTTAGAATAACAGACTTTCTCACTGTTCTCAGTCATTAGTAAATGAAGCAGCTGTAGGAACCCATCAGGATCTCCACTGCCATGATCTTTCTTTACAGCAGTTTAAAAAAAATATATATATATATGTTTTTATTGATTTCATAAGAGGAAGGGAGAGGGATAGAGAGAGAGAAACATCAATGATTAGAGAGAGTCATTGATCGACTGCCTCCTGCACGCCCCTGCTGGAGATCGAGCCCACAACCCGGGCACGTGCCCTGACCCGGAATGGAATTGTGACCTCCTGGATCCTAGGTTGACCCTCGACCACTAAGCCACTCCGTCGGGGCTGCCACGATATTTTCTATCCTTAGATAATCATAGTTAAATTGCTAAGTAAGTACTTAAACCCGGGAGAGGAATGACTGTCAGATGGTGTCAGTGTGAGCAGGAAGGTTGATCAAGGCTTTTCTCTCAGTGGGCCCGTTTGCTGTGACCTGGTCCGAACTGCTCATCAGCATCCAGACTGCCGCCATCCTCCTCCCGGTCAGCCTCGCTGTTGGGCGGCTCTTCCCGCTGACTCAGCCCCCGGAGCCTCCGCCCCTCCTTCCACCCCGCCAGGCCCCCTGCCTCTCAGACGCTTCTTCCGAGCCTCTCTCTGCCTCAGAGGTAGTTGAGGTAAGCCTGGTGTGAAATTTTACAGGTAAACTCTCTGCTTCCGTTCCCTGTGTGGTAGAAAAAAAGTGAAAAGGATCACCTAGAAGGCTCTCGGGTCTTACTACCTTCCTAGTGTTTCCCTAATTCCTGCCCCCTGAGTTGTGATCGCCTTGCCTCCAGTCTTTCTCCTGATTATGAGATATGCTGAGGATTCGATGTGAGTGCAGAGTGTGCTGCTCTGGAGTTGGTTTAGCTTCTGATGTTTGATCAAACCATCCCTTCTTCTTTCATTCTATATTCTCTCATGAAACTAGTTTTGAAGCTACTGGGAAGTGACTTCTTTTTAAAAAGAAATGAAGGTTGAGGTTCTAAATGAAAAATTGAGGTTCTTTACACTAAGAATATGCTTCTCTGAGTAAAGACGGCTGTATTGCCACCGATTCTTGCTACCATTCCCAGGTTAATGTAAAGTGGACTGACTTTTCTTACCTTGGTTCTACATTCAGGAACTGAAGGAAACTGTGGGGTTTCTGCTCAGGAGAAAAACGTGCCTCCTCTCAGAGCATGAACAATCTTCGTGGAGTTCCTACAACGTGAACCAGCTGGTGACGCTTTTATCTAGCCTCATTCGTTCACACTTAGGGGATCCAGGCTCTCATCAACAGGCAGGACCCTGCTGGGCAAATGGTACGTTCAGCAGGTTTTTGTAACTAATCTTTCTTCTGCCTCCAGCTCCCTTGCACGTATTTTTCTTATTCATCCTTACCTGTCAGCATCACCAACAAGCACAGTGCAACCTTCTGCATATTTTAATTTCCTTAAGCTTTTAATAGACAGCTGATACTTTGATCCCTCTGATGGCTTTTGAGACAACATATCCGGTGATACAAAGTAAAGGATTAAGAGAAAACCCACAAAAGTGTTCTCTGTGTGAGATGCCCATATGTCATCTTCTTTGTTAGACTATTGAAACTTGTCATTCTTTTTCTTCTGTGAGTGGTGAGACTGCAAGCTATGGATTCTTGAATGCAGTCTGGGCCTCCTGGGCACTTACCTAGTAGAGGTCACATGTACTGCAGTTCTGGTGAAAAAGCTCAATCAGTCAGGTTCTAAAAGCCTCTAGATCAAAGCATAAAATTACACAAGTTGTTAGAAATCTACCAGCTTGCTCAGAGGACACAGTAATATTGTGGGTATTGGGTCCAGTCTCCATTGACTGGGATGTTTATTTAACCTCATCATCGATTAATGAATTGCTTTTCTCTACCGGTTATTGCTGGTTATTGAACTCCTCCACTTACTAATAAGAGTCAACCTGGAATATATTTCCAGTGGCTCCTGAAAACCACCATTTCTGCTGCTACTTGCTCAGAGTTCTGCGGAGGCTGCGATCTCACTTAAGCACGTTGGATCCCACCCAGGTGGACCAGCCTTGCGACTTCCTCGATGCAGCCAGCCAACTGCAGAAACTCCAGGGACTCTTGGAAACACATACTCTTCCCGCACAGCAAGGGCCATCCAGGTAATGCACTGCACCTGGCTTTCCTTAGCCCCTGCAACCTTCCCACACCTCTCTCTCAGCTTTTGGTTATGAGATTATTACTTTGACTTCTCTTCTTAAGGGAGGCAACCAGTTTCCCCATTCTGAGCCCAGAAGAAGGAAGGAAGTCCACCGCTAATGGTCTCTCCAGGTGGTTGACTCATATCTGCTGGCTCCTTCTGGGTGTCACTAGCCTGGCTGCAGCCTTTTTTACAGCACTTTATAGTCTGGAACTGAGCAAAGACCAAGCCATCAGCTGGGTCATTTCAATGATTTTATCGGTGCTTCAGAATGTCTTCATCATCCAGCCAGTGAAGGTATGCGAGAAACCAGCCACTCCACATGGGAGGAGGAGTTGCAGTTAGAGGGAGCTTGGGAAACAGGTCCATGGTATTGAGCTAAGGGTACCTAAAGGCCTGACAATTTGACTGAAAACAGAAGGCCATCCTCCACAAAAAGAGAAATGGGAATTGTGAAATTTGTAAGGAATGTGTGTGAAGTAGTCCCAGAAAAACTACCAAGAACTGATAGACTAGTAGAAGTATAGCAGAAAAGACTGGGGAGTTAAGGGAGATGAGTAAAAAAATCAATTGAGAGCAAACTCCTTTAGGGGAAAAGCAACATAACACTTACTTTTTAAAAATGTCTAGTTAAAGAAAATGTCAAACCCACACAAAAGTATGTAGAGAATAATATAGTGAATGCTAAAGTTGAATTACCAAGCTTCAGCAGCTACCAGTTTACAGCCAGTCTTGTTTCCTCTATTTTTTTGGGGGGGGGGGAACCACCAGACCTCACATTTTATCCGTAAATATTTGTCTTTATATTTCTGAAAAATAAGGACTCTTTTTAAAACATAAATATAAAACCATTATCACACCGAAATAAATTAGCAATAATTTAATATCTGCACAACAATATGAATGTACTTAACACTACTAACCTATACACTTTGAAGAGGTTAGGATGGCAAGTTTTTTGTTACATGTATTTTACCACAATTTTTAAAGAACACAGTGTCATATTTTTCCAGTTGTCTCATAAATGTTTATTTTACTGTTTTGTTCAAATCAAGATCCAAATCTTGCTGTTAGTTGCTGTGTCTCCTAAGTGTCTCCTTTTAATACTTAATCTACAGGTTCCCCCTCCCTTTCTCTCTCTCCCTCTCTCCTTGCTATTTTTCTCACATTGAAACCAAGTTGTTTGTCCTGTATAGTTTCCAGGATTTGGGATCTCGGTGGCAGGATTGCCTCCGCATTAAGATGGCCTGAGCTTCCCAAGCAGACCTGGGAGCTTTAAAACTCTTGATGCCTAGGCCTCACTCCAGACCAATTAAGTCGTAATTTCTAGAGCTGCGCTTCAAGACCCAGTAGGGTTACAGCTTCCCAGGTGACTCTAATGTACAGCCGCGTTTGAGACCCACTGACCCTAGAAGACGGACAGAGTTCAAGGAGTAGGTAGATGTTAATTTTTAAAAAACTGCAAGTGGAGACAGGCCAAAAACTAACAGGAACTCTGAAAGGGATTCAGTTACAGCAGATCCTCCAACAGCGTTGTTTCAGTCAATGTCCTTTTGTCATAACGTTGATGAGGGGGAAAATTGATTCATATCTGGGCTGTTGTCTGTAGGAGTTTGCACGATCTCCCCACGTCTGCATGGGGTTTTTCCAGGGACTCCAGTTTCCCTCACATCCCAAAGATGTGCACATGAGGTGAATTGTTGTGTCTGTACTGTCCCGGTCTGAGTGTGGTGTGGGTATGGGTGCACCCTGCGGTGGAAGGGCCTTCTGGCTGGCTGGGTCCCACCTGCCAGGTGAGGCCTCGGCCATCTGACCCTGAACTGGGTTAAGCAGGTTGGAAAATAATTATCTTACTTGTTTTAATTAATCTTTCTTGAATGTATGTAAAGCTCACATTTATTTCAATGTTTAATTTTAGAAGTACTTTGGATCTTTATTTAGAAGTTTGGTGGTGTTTTTGTGGCCAGAAATGTTTTGTGCCATAGGAACTTAAGTCGTTTCTGTCAATTAGCCTGTGGTGAAATTGGTTTTGTTATGTCTGCCTTGCTTAAAGTTAGTTTCCAAGAACCTAACGATGATGTTAAGTGAGGACTTACTATACATGTCTGACACACAGACAAGGCTTTCAGGAAATGAGAAATGTGATTTAGAAATTCTAAAGTTCAGAAGTTGAATTGAAGATGTCACTATTGAGACCCAAATTAATGACCAGGAAGATCAAATAAACCAAAAGAACACAAACGCATAAACCATATGTAAAACGTATTGAAATCATAAAGAAATAGAGACATAGGGAGTGGATCCAGGGTAACTAGCATGCAGTCAATAGTAGTGGTAATAATTAAACAGTTGAAAATTTTTTCACTGTTGCCAACCAATACTGAATTTACCTATGGAAAGACTTTAGCTAGTTTCAGGCATAATTCCTTTAAAAAGACACGCACTGAAATGGAGGGTAGCAGTTCTGGGATGGGACCCAAGACCCTGCATTCCTGATGGGTTCCCAGGCGATGCTGAGGCTGCTGGTCCATGGCTCACACTTTGAGTAGCATCGTTCTGGATGACAAATCTAGTTTCTTTGAAAAGTCAATATCATGAAAAGTATTAATGGGAGAACTATTCTAGATCTTTTGAGTAAATGAGACATTTTTAATATGGCTAAGCTATTATACTAGGAAATTATTGATAATTTCCTGAGGTGTGATGATGGTGTAAGAATGGCCTGGTTTTTAGGTGATAGCTAGAATACAGGCAGTCCTGGCTGTGCGCTGTTTCAATATGCGTGAATTTCAGTTACCACGGTTTAGTTAAATAACAGTTCCCAGCAATACAGTTCAAACTTCAGTGGCGATGGTATGTTAACTGAGTGATTGCATAAAGTGCAGACTGCTTGCCAGTAGCTCTTTAGTAGGGAATTCGGTGGGACCCATGGTTGATGTACTTTCTACTACTTCCCCCAGTCTAGTCCACTCGGGGGCAACTTTAAGCCTGCAGAGCAGACACACCCAGAATTGGTGCCTCAAACCCATTCAACTCCAGAATAGAAGCAGAAAGGACCTCCAACCCTCCTCTGGACCTCAGCCTGGCTCACCTTGCCTGCCCCTGGGAACAACTCACCTGCAGGCAGGCCAGCCCAGGGAGATGAAGGGAATCACCTGCCCAGAGCCTTCCCAGCCACTGGGGGTGGTGGTGGTGGTGGTGGGTGTGTGTGTGTGTGTGTGCGCGCAGTGTTTTGACCTTGGTCTTCATTTTCCTGAGGCTGGAGCACTCCCCCTCCATGGGAACTTAAGGCTGTGCGCAATTCTAAGATCCTGCGACTTCTTTAGCAAAACTGGGACTTAATCCTTGGAACTTCTATTTTTTTAAATATATCTTTATTGATTTCAGAGAGAGGAAAGGAGAGGGAGAGAGAGAGATAGAAACATCAATGATGAGATAGTCATTGATCAGCTGCCTCCTGCATGCCCCCGACTGGGGATTGAGCCCGCAACCCGGGCATGTGCCCTGACCAGGAATCGAACCCCGATCACCTGGATCCTGGGTCAACACTCAACCACTGAGCCACGCCTGGCCGGGCTCTTTGGAGCTTTTAAAACTGGCTTCTCCAGTCCAACTCATCACAGGCCTTCTGAAGACAGGTGTGTCTGAACGGCTTGTGCAGATCATCACAAATCAGTGGTCTAAGCTTTCCTAGCCAGTCAGGTGAAGGACTACAGGCAGAAATAGACATATTAGCTTTATTCGGACACTTGGGACACTTCAGGTCCCATGATTATGCAAAAATAATATGGAATAATTTAATTCTCAGTTTTCTATAGATGTGTCCAAATAGTTTAATTAAAATTTATTGATAATACTCACCTTCACCTTTACACTACGATGGCACCTTCTTGGACCCTATAATGCCTGCTCATTCGTTTCCCCTGTGGTTTTCCTGTCTAGGTGATCTTCCTCTCATTGTTCTTGTCGCTGATTCTGAACAGGATGCCCTGCCTTAACAGAGAGAAGGTACAGCACACAAAGAGGATCTTGGCACTCTCGGGTAATTCAAGTAGTTCTAACTACTAATACCTAATGTGGCGACGAGCAGGTTATATCAGAACAGTGGAATTCTAGCCATCTCACTGACCCGGACAAGTTTTTCCTTTGGAGGATCTTGTCCAATCAGCTAATTGCTCCTCCTGCTCTGCCCAGGGCCATGATGAATTCCTCCCTAGACTGTCACCCTCTTCCTCAGGGCTTCACTCTCACCTATACTGTAGGCTCCTCAAAAATCTCCTTCACTCCCGAGCCCCACAGGCTATTTCCAGCTGCTCTCCATCGGCCCTGACTGCCTGCACGTGTTTCAAATTAAACATCCCCAAACAAATATTTGCCTGCTCCACAAATCCACTTTGCACTATATTTTCTCATCTCAGTTAAGAGCATTACCATTCTCTAAAAATGTCTGAGTGATCCTGAATTCCTCTCTCAGTCCTCACATTCAGTCACCAGGCCTTAGGGAGTCCTATAACTGACACAAGCTACTCATGTCACATGGATGAACCTCAAACACAATGGGGGCAGGAAAGCAACATGCAGGAAAAATGACACATTATTTTAATCATGCAGAACAATGCATGTCTTGTTTAGAGGGTTTTCTGTCATGAAGAAATGCATGGGAATGATAACCTCCAAAATTCAGGAGAGGACTTGCCTGTCTGCAGGAAGGAAGCGATGCCACCACAGAGATGCACAATAAACTTTATGCTGGCAGTCACTGATTCCTTAGGGTGAGCAGTGGACATGCTGCTAAGGAGCAGGCACCCCCATTCCTTATGGAATTTAAGAAATGAGTGAGCTAACTACAGACTGCCTTTACAGTCCTCAGTTCATCTCTCCATGCTCCTGAACTGCTGCTCCATCTGAAATGACTCACTCTTTTCTTGCCCTCGCCCATCTGAACAGCTCCAGCTAATACTGCAGAACAGGTATCGAATGTCACTTCCCCTGACTCCCACCCGGAGATGTTTTATCATTCTTCAGTGATCCTCCCGGCATGTGGCACATACTTGCTGCCAAGTTCCATGTCATATTCTAATTCATTCGCCCTCCCCCACTCACCCTCTCCCCCTCCTCTCCCTGGATCCTAAAATACTCAAAATTTAAAAAACACCAAAGGCATGACACCACAGTTTTTGTTGGTGGCATGGGCTGATTAGCCACTAACCCATGAGATGTCTTATTTAAGGGAAAAAAGTGAGCGATTTCAGGTGAGATGGTCCTGAAGTAAAAACCAGATGCCATTTGCAGCTCATACACAGAAATCCCCAGGATTGAGGGCCTGGGGCGAGAAGAGAGGTAGGTTTGTGGAAGGGCTACTGGTTTCTCTGGGCTTTGTGGTTAAGAACTAGTTCTAGGTTGCAATATACATGGTGACTGGAAATGATTTGACTTAGTATGCATGATCAGTAATAACATGGACTGTGCAATATCAAGCATGTTATTGTGATATGGATATTCTGCGATAAAGTTAAATGTGTGTCCGAGAACCAGTTATATATTATGCAATATATATATTAATGTACATGCTTATATGTGTGGGGTAAATAATTAATGTACAATTATACATAATGTGTATTATATACTATATATCACTCATGTATAATATGTGTGGCATGTAGTTTAATGGGTGAATTTGTAAAATATTTCAATATTGACATAATACAAAAAGTTAATTTCACTTCACTCATATAGGTGCTTCAAGGAGTTTAAGCAGAATTTCAGCTTTGGGCGCTGATGTTGGAGCTTGAGCTTCCTCCTGAAGTCTTTGGGGGATTTGTTCCCTGTTGCTGGTCTACAAGACCAGGGTCGTAAATATACTACAAAGACTTCATTTTAAGAGGTTGTTTTCTATAATACTTGCAAGAGGCATTAATACAAAGGAGTGATAGATATATTAGACCATGAGATTGTTGATAGAACTATGAGGAATTCTTCAATTAAAATAATTGTTGGGGGTGAAACTAGATTAGTAAGACTTGCTAATGGCATCTTGCTGCTATCAGTGGAAGAATTGTTTGTAGGCCATGAGCTATAGTTTGGCTATGAATTCATTCATAATTTGAGTTTGCCAGGTGTAGCAGTACTGAGGCTGTAAGGCCATGTGTGACTAGCAGGGCAGTGGCTCCTGTATCGCTTCGCGGTGTTTGAATGAGGATGGCTACAACTACTAGTGCCATGTGGCTGATGGAAGAGTATGCGACGAGTGATTTATGTCTGTCTGGCGTAGACAGACAGAACTGGTTATAATTATGTCTCATAAGGACAGTATTAGGAAGGGTATGCTGTGAAGTTCGATAGGAGGGTTAGCATTACTGTGACTCGTAGCATACCATAGCCGCCTAGCATAAGTAATACAGCTGCGAGACCTATAGAGCAGAAATGGGCATGTCTCCGTGTGCTGTTGGTCACGAATGGAGGCCATACAGAGGCATTGTCACTGTAAGTGCTGTGACTATGCATGCTGGTCATGGAACATTAGATCAAGAAGTAGGCAGAGGTTGAATTCAGTATTGGATTAGTAGGAATTTAAAGAGCTTATAAGGTTTTGAGTATAGATTAGTGCAATGAGGAGAGGAAGTGACCCCACTAGTGGGTAAAACAGGAAGTCAAGTCCTGCCTTTACTTCTGTTTGACTTCTTCAGCCAGTGATAATGAGAGCTGGCACTATTATTGTTTCAAATAGAATATAAAATGGTGTTAGTTCTTTAGGAGTAACTTAAGATTGGTAACATTGGAGTGTCCTGAAATTGTCGGAAATGCAGAATATTAGGCTTCACCCTAGAATCTGCATTTAACAAAACTGCCAGGTGATTCCTGTACACTTTAAAATTTGAGAAACACCCTTAGAACATGCTCCCAACATGTGCTCCACTGACTAGAACTGTTGGTTTCTAGTCTAAGATAAGTACAGGAATGGAAAAGAAGCAGCTTAGAAACTTGTGTAGCAACTGAGCAGACTTAACTTTAGGCCTGAAACTAATTTTATAGGCTGGTTATTTTATAGGCCTCTGTTCTATTTCACTTTTCTACTAATTCATTTTTATTGTACTTTACAAAAGTCTCAGTTCCTGATGGCTCAGGACTGTTTTTAAGAAGTCCTTCGTGACAGCTGGAGAATCTCTGCTCAGTGATCTTTTTTCTTTGTTTCTTCAACATTTAGCAGGAGGTACTCATAGTAGATTCTCAGAAAATGTTGATGAATAACTGCTTAATGAAATATACCAATTTTTGGCCTATATTTGAATTTTTGACAGCAAAATGTTCTCCATCATTGCCTGGTTCAAGAGATAAGAAGAACCCCATCTATGTAGCACCATCTATGAACAGTTCAGTTAAGCTCCCAGAAACAGCCTTGAAAGAGAAGCAACTCTTCAAACTGACAGGAGAGATTTTGGGTATGGAGAGGAAACGGTGGCATGTTGGTGCTGTGGCACAGTGCCCAGTGAGAACAGGGGGGACGGTTGGGAGCAGGGGATAAAATGGGAAATACGGAGGGGTAAAGGCATTTTAAGGCATTCATCTCGAAAATTTTTGGTTTCCAGTAAACAAGGTGGTGTAAGTAGGAAGACTCCTGGAGTCTTGAGATCTAATGGTGAGCTTGAGGAAGTCATTTCTCTACCTGTGGATGTAATAGCAAAACTTGATCTACATACTCACAGGGTGGAGGGAAAACGCATAGGCTTTGAAAAACGGCTGTCCTGTAAGTGCACAGTAACTTCAGCACAGCTAGTGTTGGGACTATTGGATTCCCTGACCCAAAGGCAGATTGTTTTACCAGGCCTTCCCTTCTTGTGAGCACAGATGGAGGGGAAGGAGGGAGGAGAGTTTTGGGGGTGGGGAGAGATATTAAGTTCTAAGAACTAAAATACAAAAATTGTGTGTGGAATTTTATGTATCTTAAGTAAAATTTCTAATGGCAGAGTAATTCTGGGAAGGAATATATAGATATATATTATCAGTAACAGCCAAATGCTTGGGCTTATGTTTACAATTGCCAATTTTTGCCTGTTTTTGGCCTGTAGAGTCTATTGTAGACTTAGGAAAAATGAAAAGGGTTGTAGAGACTTTCTAAGCTAAAGTCTCAATCATGATTTTTCTGTTCCACAATAGTACAAATCCTCTTCCTTGTCCTACTGATGACTGCAGTCATCTCTGCACAGAACTCCAGTAGATTTCACCTCCATCAAGCTCTACAGAAGAGCTTTTCTCAAGGCTTCTCAGAGATCAAACTTCTCAAGCATTTCTACCCCTGGGCCAGTCGCACCCTCCTTCCTAACCTGTACGGGGATTACAGAGGTAAGAACACAGTCCTGGGCCCAGCCACGCAAAGGTGGGGTGCAGTTAGTTTCCCAAACACCCCATCATGACATGTTAGAACACTGGAGAAAGGCCTGCTGGATTTCCCACATGGCTGCACCCCAGGGGGCACCCCAAGTATTCCACTCCCTGGGCCTAATCTAAGCAGGTTCAGGTTCACGTCTCTCTAGTCAAGGATGATCGGGCCCATGGAGCTGATTCTGGCTGGTGAATCTCATAAGAGGCTGGTAAATAAGAGTACAAACTTATTCACTTACACATGAAAACTAACAGGAGTGATCCCTGGGACTGGCTGCCTCCTTGTGAAGGAGGGAACCACATGTAGCTGAGAAGGTTGTTAGGTGGGCACAGAACCAGGAAAACAGTGCAACCAGAAAGATCTGTTTGATACATTGCCTCATGTGCAATCTTTCCAAGTCTACAACATGTCTGTGTAACTTCCCTTGTGTGGTTATCCAGTTCAGAACACCTAGTATGCTGGGTATAATATGGTCTTTATCTTCAGAGAACCTCACCATCAAGAGGAGTTGGTATGCTTTGCCCTGGACAGTGTTGGAGAAATGCTAAAAAATTGCTTTCCTAAGGAACGCTTCTTGTTCAATATTTTTCATCAGTTACAAACACTTTGTCATATTACTACTTTATATCTTGTTCAGTAAGCTGTATTCTGGAAATTGTTGCATTCATTTATCTTAGGATTGGTGGCTTCCTATTAGAATTTGGAGCATCTCCTAGGTTCCTGAAAAAATTTAAAAGACATGCTCATCCCAGCAAACACTTATAGTCTTTTCTTAAAACTGTACTAGGCACATTTAGGAGAGTTTTTACAGATGGCAACTTCTATTCATTGCATGTTAATTCTTTCTAGTTCAGTTTTAGGTGGCGACAGTTCTAGGTTCAGGGCACATTCTATCTGTAGTCAGTAACCCTGTGCTGAATAAAATATTAACTAAAAAGTAAACTGAACCATGGGTGACTAAGGCTAATGCCATCATGATAAGCGTGGCTCTCTTCTTCACTGCTTGGTTCTGCAGTACAGGGTCATGGTCCAAAAGCACATCCTTGCTCTCCACATACTAGCAGTGTGTTCTTGGGTAAATTACTCAACCTTCTATGCCTTAGTTTTCCCTCTCTACAACGGGGAAAATCTTAGGATCTACCCTGTAAGATTGATATGAAGATTAAAAGCTTGTCCTTGGTGTGACTCAGTGGTTATAGCATCAGCCCGCACACCAAGGGGTCTCGGGTTTGATTCCCGGTCAAGGACTGGGCTGCAGGTTTGATCCCAGGCCCTGGTCTGGGCATGTGCGGGAGGCAACCAATTGATGTCTGTCTCTCACATCGATGTTTTTCTTTCTCTGTCTCTCCCCCACTCCTCTCCTACTCTAAGAAATCAATGGAAAAAATATCCTCAGGTGAGCATTTAAAAAAAGCTTAGTATATCTAAGTGTTTAGAACAGTGTATTAGCACATAGTATTCACTGGATAAGTGCTAGTTATTATTATTAATTGGCATAATTGAAGCTCTCGCTAATCTAGAACCAAAATACAGGACAGCCTATTTACATGAGTTACCTGAACATACTAAGTAAGAGCAATAGCAGTCTGTAGACGTAGATAAAGAGAGAGAACTAGGTAGACATGGGTGAAGCACAGTAAAAATGGCAGTAACATTGGTTATCTCTTCAACTCCTAAAACTATTTACTTTCAGAATTGCTGTAATTCAGTCCTTAATCCAGTTGTTTTCAAGAACATTGAAGCCCAAGCCCTTCACAGCAGATAACCCATATCCTATAAACACAAACCTTTCCTAAATAGCACAGTCCAGTGTTTAATCACATATAGGGAAGGATCTTTCTCTTTGTAGGATTTAATTAAAATTTCTCTTGCTGTAATTTAAGCTTGCTTTTCTCTCTTTCTTCTGAGATAGAAAACTGGTCAAAAATTTACCATAATTGTATATATTTTTCATTTAGGAAATACAAAATGAGACCATATTTGAAGGCTCTCAACTCTTCCCTTTGTCTTCTGCAGAACTCTCAGTCCTTTAACTCTCCAGCTGTTCCCGGTAAACCTGTCCCTGCAAAATTCTCTAACATCATCTTTTTCTTTCATGTTAAAATACTTAATAATTAAAACATGAACATGGAGAAAATTCAGTGTACAACAGTGTATATCATGCCACTCTCCTTTGTTCCATAATCCCCCTTTCCTGTTTCCAAGAGGCAACTACTTTCCCAGTTTATTATATATTCTTTCAGAGGTGATCTAGGCATTTGCAAATAGATTTGATGATAAATGGTAACATACTATAAACATTGTCATGTGTTTTGCTTTTTTCCCGTAATAGTTTACCTGGAAATTGTTCCATTGATATGTATAGTATCCCATTGCACAGATGTACCATAATTTATATAACCAGCTCCCTATTGATAGACATTTAGATAGTTTCCAACCTTTTATTGTTAGCATTACCATTAATGTCATTTTACATATGTAATTTTACACGTCCAAATATATCTGTAAGATAAATACCCTGAAAAGATTTGCTAAAAACGTATATACATTTCTAATTTAGAAAGATATTGCCAAATTGTTCTCCTTAGTTATTGTACCAGTTAACACTCCCATGAGCAATGTATGAGTCTGCCCCCATCTCCAACAGCCCAGCAAAACTGGTGTTTTCAAACACCTGTAGCTCTGAGATATGAGACTTTGGGATTGCACTCATGAGAAAATACAAATTGAAACTAAAGAAAGAAACCATTTTTCACCTCATATGGGCAAACCTTGCCTCTGCCCTTACCCTTTTTCATTCCATCATCTCCATGTTTTAAAAAAACATAAACCTGTGTCACTTCATCTCCTATCCCTCCAACCCTCACTCACTCTGCTACAGCCACTAAGCTTCCAGTGAGCCACCTCCTCAGAGCAGCTTTCTCTAATCACCCTTCCTAAGCGAACAGCACTGCTTCCTCCCCACGAAACATTCTCTGTCCCTCCATCCTACGTAATTTGTCTGCACAGCACTGTCATCACCTGAATATTGTTTGGTTACTGCCTGTCTCTCCCCCTCAAGTGTGCACTCTCTGTGGACAGGGGCTCATCCACTGCTGTGCTCAGGCGCCTAGAGCAGGACCTGGAATATGTGAGCGCTCAGTGCATGCTGACTGAAAGACGAGAGTGAGCGGACGGCGCTCCGTCACCTCTGTGTGTCTTCCACTAGGCTGCTTGGTTTTGCTTTTTTTCAATCCTCACCCGAGGTTGTTTTTTCCATTGCTTTTCAGAGAGTGAAAGGGGGGGGGAGAGAGAGAGAGAGAGAGAGAGAGACATTGATTGGCTGCCTCCCGCACACCGGCTATCGAGCTTGCCACCGAGGTACATGTCCTTGACAGAAATCGAACCCAAGACCCTTCAGTCCAAGGGCTGACGCTCTAACCACTACGCCGAACTGGCTAGGGCCATTTGCTTGTTTTAATAGGAGCCTTTATGTATTAAGAGCTTGTTTAGTTGTAGATACAGATTTAGATATTTATATGGATACAAACTAAGAACTTAAAAAAATTAATTCCGGGCCCTAGCCGGTTTGGTTCAGTGGTTAGAGCGCCGGCCCGCGGACTGAAGGTCCTGGGTTCATTTCCAGCCAAGGGCATGTACCTTGGTTGCAGGCTAGATCCTGAGCCCCTGTAGGGGCCCATACAGGAGGCAACCAATCGATGTGTCTCTCTCACATGGATGTTGCTCTCTCTCTCTCTTCCATTCTCTCTGAAAAGCAATGGAAGAAATATCATCGGGTGAAGATTAAAAACAAACAAAAAATTAATTTTGGGAATCAGTCTCTTTATAATGTTCTCTTCCTGTCTGGGAATATGATTTGCTTTTCTATTCTCATCTCATCCTCAGGAACACTCAGAATTGCTCCATATAATTCTTGCACATTTCTTTTGTGTTGCCATTGTAAATGATATCTTTTATTTCTCTATAGCGTCTAAGTAAATATTGTTTGGGTATAGAAGGACATTGAGTCTGGCTGGGTGTGGCTCAGCGGTTGAGCGTAAACCTAGGATCCAGGCGATCGGGATTCGATTCCCAGTTCAGGGCACATGCCCGGGTTGCGGGCTCAATCCCCGGTCAGGGGCGTGTATGAGGCAGCTGATCAATGACTCTCTCATCATTGATGTTTCTATTTCTCTCTCTCCCTCTCCTTTCCTCTCTCTGAAATCAATAAAAATATATATATACTTTTTTTAAAAAAAGGACATTGATTTCTTTATAGTTAGTACCCAGCCACCTTGCTGAATTATCTTTTTCTAAGTAATAGTTTTTAGGTTCTCTTTTTCCTCCCAGCTTTATTGAGGTATAATTGACAAAAATTGCACGTACTTAAGGGTACAACATGATGTTTTGATATACGACTACATTGTGAAATGATTACCACAATCAAGCTAATTAACACATTTATCTCACAAAATTCTGTTTTGTTTTTGGTGTGGTAAGTTATAGGGCTGTTTCAAGATCTTCAGTCACACTGTTTGGTGAGCTCACCTCCAGGGACTTCTGGACCATGGCTGGGAAGGGCTGGAGCTGGGTCACAGCCACTTTATGGTCCAGTCAGGACTGACATCTGCAGGACTATTATCTAAAGCACAGGCTGGGGTGACCCCTCCTGCGTCCCTTGGCATATGGTGCTGGTGGCAAGGCCAAGGTCAAATGGCACTGCAGCTAAGTGCACAGGAGGACAGCTGTTTCTAGATGTGCAGCCAGGCCCACAATTGGTGAGTCAGCCACGTGGGGAACCTGCCTTCTCAAAATGGACCTTGTTGGTCTTGGACTCCACCAGGGTTTCACAGTTGCCTACCTGAATCCCAACACTCCCACAAAGGCACTTTTGTCTGTGGATTATTGTTGAGAGATACAATCAAGGGACCTCATATCCCATCACCTTCATTTTTCTGACATCTTTCGGTTGATTCTCATGATCTATCTAGACCATTACCTACATATCATATGTAGGTCATTATCTACAAATTATAATTTCACTTCCTCCATTTTTTTTAATACCTCTTGTTTCTTTTTTTTTAATCTGGTTGCATTAGCTGGAAACTCTAAAAATGTTTTTAAAAATAGTGGTAAAGCTGCATTTTTTGTTATGAGATTAATGAGGCAGTTTTTACAATGGCTTCTTGTACTCTCTCATTAGGGTTCATTACTGATGGGAACTCCTTTCTTTTGGGCAATGTTCTGCTTCATCAGATTCGCATTCTGAAGCCATCTTGCCACGATCTGGAGGATACAGAGAACTACGGGGCTAACTGGAGGCCACCTGAAACAAACGACACAGAGCCAGACAGCATTTGGCACTATCAGAATCAGGAGACACTGGGTGGCCACCCCATCCAAGGGGAATTTGCCACTTACTCAGGAGGATACGTGGTCAGACTTGGAAGAAACTCCAGTAATGCAGCCAGGTGAGTGAGCCTGAGCCCTCAACAAGAGGACCAAGATGTTCGCTTCTGTCCATTCTCAGGACAAGTAGGAGTTAGAACCCATTGAACATTTTCAAGAGCTACTGTAATGACACTTGTAGACACTTTTATTTTAGACTTTTAAGGAAATGTATCTTTTAGTTTAAAAATTCCTTGTTCAACCTCAAACGACAGGTTGGTTTTAGTGTGCCAGTTTGCCAAATCTCAGTCCTTTTCTCATCTGGGAAACACGCATCAGTTTCAATCTTAGATGCAGTTGAACTCAGTAATTCTAGCTTGGGCAAACTACTCTTCCAATATAAGAGGAAACACTGCCCTTCACCGAGGACTACGATCAATCCAAAATTCAAATGCTAAAAATAAACTGCCAGAGAGTTAGAATGGTTTTGTATATGAATCCTGGGAGTCTCTGTCATTATGTATGAAAAAGTCTAAATTAAAATGATTATCTCTTTAAATTTATAGCAAGAAATTAATCAAAAACAATGCCAGCCAAATGACCTTTCCACCCCTTACGCCTCTCAAAACTGAATAGTAGCTATTAGTAGAGAGTAGCATTTAACACTTCAAATAGTAGTTGACACAGCATATAAACTTCTACCTCATGCCTTAAGTGCCAAATATATTATCTTGAACATTTACTTGGTGTGACTACCATTTTGAAAACTTGCAATTTTATAGTCTTCTAGATTTATGTTCATGTTATCAGTAGTGAAAGTTCGGGCATTAGTAATTAGAAAATACTGCCCAGATAAACTAGATTGGGAAATGTAGCCTCTCATGTGGTATGAGTAATATTGGAAATGCCAGGGCGTTTTCCTTTGCAGAGCTGAATGGAGAAAGCAGCAGCCCTGTCCTTCTCTGTCTTTCCAGAGTTCTGCAGCATCTTGAACAGAGCCACTGGCTAGACCGTCGCACCAAAAGCCTCTTTGTGGAATTTGTGGTCTTCAATGCTAATGTGAACCTGTTCTGTGTAGTCACCCTGATTTTGGAATCCAACAATGTGGGTACGAAGGCCTCTCCTCTCCTCCCTGACCTGGGTATTTCAGAAGTCCCAATTTCTTATACCATTAAAAGACATTATCTTAATTCAAGTTATTACGCGTAATTTTAAAAGTCAAATAGTTCAAGGCAAAAACTAGTAGTCCTCATTCCCCACCTCATTCCTAAGCCATAGAAACTGCTTTCAGCCTTTTTAAACCCATTCTTTTGCAACTTAAAAATTAACATGCTTATTAGCTATTTCATGAATCTTCAGTTTAATGACAGAGGATTTAACTTTCTTACACCCACACATGTCCCTAACATACACCCCTTTTCTTTCCTCATTTTCCCACCAAAGAGGTATATTTTATGGTTAATATTATTTCCATAATTGTGATAATATATTTTTCAAAGATGAGCCCTGTAATGTATTACAATACAATTTCTTTTCTTTCACAACTGTTTGTTTTCCCTAGTTTATAATTCTTTTTTGATTGGTTGGTTTTGCATGCATCTGTCATTGGAGATGAATCAAACTCTTCCTAGAAGTAAAACCTTTATTCTGTTCAAAAGTATCCCATAACCTATCATTTTGTCTTTTTCTTGTGAGACCCTCCCTAGGGCCTCCATCCTTTCGGTGCAGTGCAGCTTGGTTATTCTCTAGGCCTGCTCTAGAGCTCTTATCCTGGACTCCCTCTTCACTGCCACCCTAGGGATTATCTTTACCTCTTTCCTCCACTGGGTCCCTTCTCCTAGATCCCATGTCTTCCTTTCTTGGTTTACTTCCTCATTTTGCTGGAGCACATCCTACAGTAACTTCCTGGAAGGTGCAAAGGAAGTAAATTTTTTGAAGCCTTACATGCCCAAAAATTTTGTCATCACATTTGGTTGCTTATTTCATTGGATACAGTTGTTTTTCACAGAATTTTGGAAAGTACAGTCCATTGCCTCCTAACTTCTCAGTATGATGATGCTCCCATTCCCAAGTTTTTAGAATTGTCTTTGTCAACGTTATGAAAGGACCTGACTGTCCTCATAGTCCTTTAATCTGAAAATGTATGCCTAGATTTTGAGAAATTTTCTTTGCAAATTTCTCCTATTTTTTCTTTTTCTGATATTCCTAGTATTTTGAGGTAGAGGTAGGAACTCTTGGACTGATCCTCTGATTTTGTTAGGTTTTTGCTTTTATTTTCCACCTAATTTCTGAGATCACTTCAATTTCTAAACGATTTGAAATTTTCATTTTTATATTTTAATTTCCAAGACTTGTGTTTGTTCTCATATTTCTTTTGCATAGTCTCCTGTTGTTCTTTTATGGAATCAATATCCTATCGACTCTCTGAGGATACTATAGGTTCATTTTGTTTTTCTCAGCTCCTTCACTTTCTCTAATTCCTGAGCTTTTTATTTTTTTATTTTTTTTGTTATGATCTCCAATTATCAATGTTAGAGGTTTAATAATCTGGCTGTTTTTTTCATATTTGAGAGGCCATTAAAAAAAAAAGCAAATGCTAATTAGAAGCTCTGTATGCCTGGATAGAGCTTGTCAACTAGTATCTGTCTTTTCTCTTGGGCAGTCAGTTTTCAGAGAGAGACCCTCCAAACTCCTGCCTCGAGGATATAAGCCTGTTAGAGAGAAGTGAGGGAAGGAGAGTAAGGGTCTCACCCAGCAGTATGTAGACTTTCTTTTAATTCCCTTTTCTAGTTGACTCGCAATGTACCCGGTGTCTCTGAGCTCAGATTCTCTCTAGTTCAACATCACTAGCAAATAAACCTTTAGTCTTAGGCAGTGGAAGGCAGGATGGGGGGCAAATATCTGGTTGTGACAGGAAGAGAAAATCTGGGGTCTAACTGCTTATGCTCAGACTTGCAATCAGTTCCATTTTCAGTTCCACTTGACCCTCTACCTTCAGAGGTACCTGATGCCTCTAATATCCCAGCCTTTCCAGGGTTTTGTGGTAAGAATTGGCTTCCTTCTGGGTTTCCTGCACTGCTTAGGTTTCAGCTTCCTTGAATCTACTGGGTCAGCGTCATCTTATTTTCCAGCTTCCAAATTGTCCCTCTCGTTTGCCCTCCTCTTCTCTGTCATTTTCATACCCCTTCACTGTCATTGGAGAGGTGTTTTGTAAGGGCCTGGAGGGAAGCTGGCACACTGAACTCCCCTGCCTTTAACAGGAAATCTGTCCTAATCCTACTTCTTCTCACCTTTCTTCTCTCCCCCAGAACTTGCCCACGAGTGTCCTTCCCTTTACCACCAGGTTTTACTTCTAATCAGGAATTCCTTCTTCCCAGATCCACACAGAGTACACCACTTCTCTTATACTTCTAAGTGAAGCGTGACGGCTTCCTGAGGGTCTTCATAGGGACTTTTCATGCAGTCGGCACTTTTCTCCAATAGCTTTGCACATGTGACGTCATTTAATATTCATGACACCTCTAGAGGAAGCACAGCTTAGAAACTCAGAACATCTGAAATTGATGGTACAGGGACAGTTGAGGTTATTTCAAAGACGGAGTTTGAAGGGAAGAGAGCAAAAGTTCTAAAGACTCTTGACTAGAAATGTTATTCTCAGGTGCTTTCTTCGCTTCTGTAAGACTGGACACTTTAACTTCCCTTCAGACATCAAAGAAGGACTCTGTCTGGTCTATCGTCTCACAAGTCATCTATTATCTGCTAGTCTGTTACTATGGCTTCGTACAGGTGAGTTGAAAATGTTAAATCTAAGAGACTCCCAAGCTTGCCAGATTATTTGAGAAGCTCCACAATGAGCTACTGCTTGAATTACAGCTATGATTTTGGTCCTTTCCAGAAATCTGACTTCAGTTAAAGGCTGGCTGATTTTCCACAAAGCAGGTCTTTCAGTTTTCAAGAGTTAAAGAATTAAGTCTGTAGAAAGAAAATTACTTTTTGTACAGTTGTACTAACCCTGTGTAAAGCACTAGCAAGAGACTGAAAGTACAAACGGATTAAGCACTCAAAAATACAGGTGACAGCACTCCAAAGATAACGTATCTTAAGCCAAACACAATGTTTTCTTTATTTTCAGGATTGATAACTAATTTAGAAACTTTTTAAATTAAGTTTAAGCAAAGAAAAATGACTGTACCCAGTGGAAGTTGTACTAGAAAAGGCCAACTATTCAGTAAGCAGCCCCTCTGAGCAACCACAGGGCAGAACAGAGACCATAACCCATTGTGTCCAGGTCAGATGATGGCAATGTTCGTAACACTTCATTAGGGGGAGACGTAGCTAATCTTTCAGGCAAGCAGCAGTGACTGTGGTGTCTGTTTAGGGTCGCCGGCTGAAACAGCAGAGATGGAGGTTCTTAACGAGGAAAAAAAACATTCTGGACATAAGCATAATCCTTACTAGCTTTGTCATCTTGGTGCTTGACATCAAGCTTATTTCTCTACATAAGAAGAACATGGCACAGTACCACTACGACCGTGACAGGTAAGAGGGAGCCGGAGCAGCCCAGGATGGATATTCCTCCTCCATGTCCAAAGTTTCCTGTTTACACACACGTATTCTTGCAAACTCCCCTTCCTCCTCCACTGCTCTACCAAATCTCTCTTTGTAGAATACCAAAGATAAACACAGAACTCAGACTAATGTCACAGCAGAGACGACGAACCAGAAGCCTATACTGCTCATCACGTTGAAAAGGTCTTCTGCCTTTCACATTAAAGGGCCTGGATTAGTCATTATTTTGCACCCTGGCCAAGGAATAAAACCTAAGACATGACAAGTGATCACCCTTCAAATAAAACCACAACACATGGTACATACTTTTAGTCCAAAGCAGTTGCTTTCTGGGTAGGGATGTTCATCCACACCAAGACATTCTGGTGCCCCTTTGGACTCTTTCTCTGGCCATTCTCATGGGGAAGAGCATCTCTGGCCCAGATCAAGTATTGCCATGCACTTTTCTAACCTTTCAGTGGTGAGCAGCCTGCACCACTGGTCTAAGACTAAGGCACTGTCCCAGGAAGGCCTTATAGTGGGTTGTTTATGCAGGGACACTGGGTCTGTGCAGTTTGAATTATGCTGGCAGCTGAGATCCAGCCTGCTGTGTGGCACCGTCTAGGTCTTAGACAATAAAAGAATTGTGATCAAGGGTCAACATGCTCATACCTATGGGGGTCTTTCCCAGTATAATTATGAATGCCTCTCTCAAATAACAAAACCTAAAAAAATAAAAAACCAACACCAAATTGGTAATTAACACCCCTTACCTCTAATCATCTTTCTACTCAGCACTGTTAAACCTATTAGAGGGTCAGGTATCTACTGCCAGAGGACAATACAGTATTAGTGTGTTACAGAAAACAGACCAGCCTAATGGCACGTGTCATTATGTTAACTCATCTTTTAAGAGGAGAGATTTAACTCAAATCAGAGCAGTAGAAGGCTGGCCTTGATTTCCAGGATGAACCTGGAGTAAAGAAATCAGAGGTCACATTTCAAGTTTTCTTCAGCACAACTCCCAACCAAACATGTGTTTCTTTTGCCAGTGCTCTCATATCCACAGGCCACACTGGAAAGCAGAGTTCTTACATCAAGCATTTCACCTAGTAGGACTCACAACTGCTGCACTTCGGCAGTGGGAACACTGGAGAAACTGACGTCACAGGAATTGGTGATGGCATATACTTCATGCTGAGTAACTGTCGGCCTTCCTTGATAAAGGTTCATCAACTTCTATGAGGCAGTAAAAGTGAACTCGGCTGTCATTCACCTCATGGGCTTCCTGGTTCTGTTGGCAACTGTTCAGCTATGGACCCTGCTGCACCATAACCCCAGGCTCCAGGTCATCGGAAGAACACTCACCAAAGCCTGGGATGAGGTGGTGGGCTTCCTGTTGGTCATCTTGATCCTGCTGACAGGCTATGCCATTGCTGTGAGCGCCCATTCAGTGTCTGTCTTTCCTAAGTGCTATAGTCTTGAATCACTTTGCTTCTCTTAGAAAAGATCACTATGTGGAAAATCAGTTCAAGTTGGCACTGAGTTTTGGAGAAAAAGTAGTGCAGTAAGAAAGCTGGTTTTAGTTACAGTGCCATAATTAGCAGGAGGACTTCAATTCATATATTTGTATCTTTAAAATTGGGATAAAATTTAGCTCACGGGAATGTGAAGGTCAAATTTATATGAAAATACTATGTAACTACAAAGGAATTTTATATATTTTTTAGGCATGGTAATCAAAATGGCCACTAAGGATTTTAATTTTCATTATGTTCGTTCTGTTGACCTCATCACTGAGTACCTCAAGACAGAAATAACTGCAATAGCCTCCACTTCTCTCCACTCCCTGACTGGTCTTTCTCCCTCTTTTCAGTTTAACCTGCTATTTGGGTGGAGCATCTCCGACTACCGAACTTTTTTCAGCTCTGCAGTGACTTTTGTTGGTCTCTTGATGGGAGTCTCTCATTACAAGGAGGTGAAAAACCCCATCCTGTTTTCCCTACAGAACTCTTTTGGTTTAATAATACAGGGTGGGGCAAAAGTAGGTTTACAGTTGTGAGTACACGAAACAATTTATTTATTAATTGTATTTCCATACAAACAACTGTAACTCTACTTTTGCCCTACCCTGTGTCTAATAAAGGGAGCAATGTTTATAAAAGCAGCCCCTACTATACGATGGCACCATTAGAAAAGGGAGATTTAGATGCTTTGTCGTTCTGGTTTCTGGTACCACCTATGTCTACAAGCTTTGGGGTGGCTATTACTTTCAGAAGCCTGTCCTTTTCTAAACACATAGTCCCACCTCTCACTTCCTGTGTCCTTAATCTTACTGCCAAGGACACAGCCTGAACCTTTGCTCTTGTACCTGGCCAGATTACATGGGGTTGCTGCTGCCTTTTCAGTGGCCCTTTGAAGTAGACAATGGAAATGACTTTTAAAAATTAGGCCCGTACAATTCCAGAAGAGCTGTGATGTTTCTGTTTATAGTTAACAATTTCAGAGAGCCTGTTATTTTCCCCCAGGAACTACCAACACAAACCCGTTTCTATTCAACCTATGAAAAATAAAGCAGGAAACCCAGGTGAGGATTTGGGTCCAAAGCACAAGCATATATAGATTTGATCAGGGAAGGAAAAAACTGCAATTCAGATCAGTGCAGGTGGCAAGATTTTCATCAAGGCTTATCATTCTGATAACCTACGTTTCAAAGGTTACTAATTAAAATGGGTAAGTTATCATGGTTTCTGATGTGGAAAACTGCTACCTCCCTAAGATAACCACTGTTTTGGGGGTACTATTTTATTGTGGTTCTAGCCCCAATCACTAAAGAATGAAGTCCTCAGCCATGGAACACTTTAAATACTAAAGTTCTTAAAGGAAGTAATCAGAATACTACACTTTTACTAACACTTATTTTTGGACTTTTTAAAAAAACACACACTTTTCTACTCTAATCATAAATATACAATGTGAAGGGCCAATGGAGTTATACTTATTGGGAAAAGTCTTACATCCTAAACTCAGAGTGTCCAAACTTGACCTAATTATGCTATTAAGTGGATGATAGGCTGCTACTAGGAAATGTTTTGACAGAGATTTCCATCCCAGTGGCATTTAGTTTAAGTATACATCCTCTAAGTTGCTTGTCTTTTTTTTAAAAATGCCAGTGATGAATGAGCCAATACCAAGGGAAAATAAACCATTAGTATTGGAAAATCAACATGACTTTTTAAATATCTAAAATAAGATTGGGAAAAAGTAGGTTTACAGTTGTGAGTACGTGGAAGTTTACTCTTGTACTATTTATCATTGTATTTTTGCATGCAAACTGTAAACCTACTTTTGCCCACCCCTGTATTTTCTGGAATTGCCAAAACTCACATGGGCTTTGAATCCTTTTAATTTTGCAACTCACCTGTTCTTATGAAAACCCCAAAGGCACAATTATTTTTACACCCTTAGGGCCATTCTTGCTCTTCTCTCCCCTCAAAAGTATTCTTTTAATAGTTTTGCTTTTCTCTCTCATTTCCACCAGACAAGTGTTTTCTTATATATCCCAAATGTTAGCACGTAACTTACATTTTTAAAGTAGAAATGAAACTGTGAGTGTTTAAACTCAGTGTTTTATTGTCTTCCCAGATTATTGCATTAGACCCAGTCCTGGGCTCCTTTCTGATCCTCACCAGTGTCATCTTGATGGTGCTTGTGATCATTAACCTTTTTGTTTCTGCCATTCTAATGTCCTTTGGTAAAGAAAGAAAGTCCCTTAAGGTAGGTAACTCTATGGCTTGGGAATTTATATACTGGTTTCCCCCACTACCCAAAAGTAGAGCGCATTCCTATGAAAACTTTTAAAAGCCAAAATGGCATAACACAAAGAAGCAATTACCATTAATTTAAATGGGAAACATTTTTAATCTTTCCCAGTCCCCCAAAATAACCTACCAAATAATACATCAAACCTAAAACAGCACTAACGTATAGTAAAAGCAGGAATGATATCATATACAGCTATGTAAAGCAGAAATAATGTAGTGTTATTTCAGTGTGTGCTGCCTCTGTAACAGCTCACTGCGAACACTGAACGTAGGCTACCTTCGCTTTTCATCTTTTTCATAAAAGCAAAAGTCCTCTTCGGATTTCTTTTGGTTAGTGAAAACAGGTACTAACACACATCTCCTAGCCCTAAAAGTGAAGTGGCGTAAAGTGGGGGATACCTATATAAACCGTACCATTTTATACCACTGCAAAAGTTCAACTGTAGCTGCTCTTAAGATTACAAAAGGATGTAATGCACAATATCAGCATATTCCCTTTATTAGTATCCACAGCTCTGCCAACTATTTTCCTAGGAAACCCAATTTACCAAGACTGCATTGTGTTCTAGCCACTGTCCTATAAATAGCTGACCCTCAACTACTAAGCAGAAACACTCCAATGCCTAACAGCAAATCATTAAAGGAAGCAGTATCTTTACTATATGTTTACTTTTTTTACCTTTGATACTTTTCCCCTTCAACATTAGGAACAATTTTAATTTATTTTTCTCCTTTTCTCCTCCAACAGACTTGGAAAGAAGCTGCACTGATAGATACCCTGCTGCAGAAGCTCTCAAGTTTATTAGGAATCCAGTGCACCAGAGCACAGGTGAGTGAACAGCTGTGACAGCAACGGACACTGACACTAAGTGTTAAAAAATGAACTGTCTTAACCCTGTTATCGCCTAGCAAATACTTATTTTTGCATGGCGTAAGCTTAGAAAATTATAGCTGTTTACAGTACACTTTGTTAATTTTGTCAGTGAGGAATCAAAATCCCCTTCGCTGAAAGTCCTTATGTTTATGATCTTGGCACTGTCAGGAAAGTCTTAACACTGCAAGAGTGACATATTTAACTGGTTCTGCTGCCAGAAATGCCAGTAACACAACCCGTGTTCTAGGATGGCTGTGGGAAATACCAGTGAGTCAGATGTGAGCCCACTGCAGCTTATTAGAAATAAAGATACAAGCATGTGATCTGGCTGATGGGGAGCATTTCTAACACTGTGTTCCTTGCCCTAATTTAATTAGGTCCTGAAAGCCTCCACAAAGCCCCAGAGGAGTAACCAAGCCAACTCACAGATGCTATCTGGGCTTAAACAGAAAGACTGGAATGGGCTCCTTACTGCCGCAGACATCCACGTTACCCAGGGAGCCAAAGGTAAGGTCTGGCTTGTGCCCAGCATAGGTCACTTGCTTAAAATATTCTCCACTAAAATCCAAATTTGCAGCTCATCATCTAACCAAACCAGTGGAGAAAGCAGGGCACAGAATTTTTAACTTTATTATCAGCTACCAAGCTATGAGATACAAACCAGTCAAAAACATTAAAGAAAGGTTGCTTGAAACAGGTATGTACAGATACACAGAAGCGAGTCTTATCTTCCGATCCCAAAGCCATCCCTGTGGAAAAGAATGGCCTTAGCTAGGGGGCAAAGGAGCATGTTAGTTATAACAGTAATTAGAGTCTCATCCATCAAGGAAAGCAGCGAACAATTACAGCCACAGGGGCACTAAAATTTGAGATCAGTTTTTAAAGGTTCTCTTAATCTTCAAGTTTTCAAATGAAAACAGGGACCCCTCTTCTCCTGTAGGCTTTCCAGCTCACTATTCAAGAGACTTGAATACTTCTATTAAGGCAACTGGAAGCCCACCTTAGCCTTGAATGGTGACCAATATGCGTCCTGTCCTTCGTTAGTAATGCAACAGGCCACAGAGGGCTCCCTGTGAATCCAGTAAAAGTATGAGAGGCCATCAACTCTCCAAATAAACTTTGCAACTGGATCCAGGTGAAACACTGCCCTGCAGCAAGGAGTAGAGTATATGCCAATGAGAGGACCCAGCTTCCAAGAACTGTTACAGTGGCTTCCTGAGTCATTTTCTCTCTCCCATTCATATTAGAGCGAGAAAATACACATTTTAGCCTTGATTCTCACGCACCATAAATCCCTCTGTAGAGTGGGGTGTGTTTCTAAGTCTAGAACCTCAGCACAGAGCTGAGACACTTCATGAAGTACTCTCTTCCATAACCCAGCCATCTGTCAGCTCTCCCCACAATGCTTTTACGTTCTCACTCCCCTGTAGAGGGAAGGTGGGACAGGCGAGGAGAGAACCTGGGCTCATACTGACAGGAAACAGACAAGCACGGCTTACAGGAGTCAGCTGCTCTGGCCTCAGTGTCTCTAGTCATTCATCTCTTAGGAGCAATAAAGAACTGGATGGAAAGCACCACAATTTGGTAGAGCAGGAAGAGAGCCCAGAGGAAGAATGTGCTCGGTGATGGTTAAGAGATGAAACAGAATTTCATGGAGATTCTTTGTTAGAAGGAGAAACTGCTGTTTCAACTTGCAGAACTTGGATGTTGCCTGGTTTGAGATGCCTATGTTTTCTTTTTCAACTCTTCAAATCTCCGGGAAAGATCATCAAAGTCAATGTCCTCAGATGCTGAGGTGCTGGCACCGGCAGATGCAGTTGGTAGTGTATCTGGCACAGATGGCAACTCTGGTAGTACAAAGTTGTCATAGGTATCCACAGGTCTTGAAGGGGGCTTTGTAGAGGCTTCTGGCTTGGGTCCAGGACCTAATTAAATTAGGGCAAGGAGCACAGTGTTACAAATGCCAAAGAAGTGGGTCAGAGCCCAGTCCCCTTGGCAGAAACAAGTCAATCAAAATGCAGTAGAAAAACTAGTTTCCTTTTTAAATTACAATTTTTTAATTCTAAAGGTAAGTACACAGAGCACTGATTTAAAGAAACTGTCCCCTTTCATAAAGGCCTGCTCACAAACGCCTGCACCCATAAAAACAAAGTCCAAAGTCTGGAGTGGTACCAGAATTCTGTTGAGAAGAAGCTACTCTTTAAGGCTTGGGGGGGAATTTTTTACAAGAAATGTTAATGTCAATCTTATTTGATATAAAATACAAAATGGAAGACTATAAATACAGATCAGATCCTATTACAAGTTAAAACTCACCGCCCCTCTCTATCTACTGTATGTTTCTATTTATATCTAAGTTCTAGAACAAGCAGACCTAAACTACAGCATTACAACATAAGAACAGCACTTGCCTATGGGGTGGAGCTGACTGAAAAGGAACAAAAGGGAACTTTTCTGGGATGATAGAAATATTCTGATAGAAATGTTCTATAACTTGACTGAGGTGGTGGTTACATATCCTATGTGTGTATAGACACCCCATGTAATATCAAAACTCATCAAAATATATACGTCCTCTGGGTTTCTAGGCTGCTATTTTTTAAATAGACGGCTACATGAGCATGCCTGCTTTGCAAAAAGTCACTGAGCTATTCACTTATAATTTGTGTCTATTTACCCCTCCTTTTTTAAATTTCTAGACACAATGGAAGATGAATCAGCAGGAACATAAAGAACTTGAAAAAATAAAAATGTGTGAAAAGGAAACAGGGAACTTGGGAGATTTGGGGCCAGGGAAGATATTTTCCTTTTGGAATAGAAGAGGGAAATCCTGAGTTCTGTTTTTGCCATACTGCATTTGGAGGGAGGATAGGACATGCAGGTTGAATGCTGTGGACAGGAAAACCATCTCTGAGGGAGGAACAGTAATGAGAAAATAGCAAAGGGCTCAGCACTGAGCCTTGAGGGTTTCTAACTCACCAATAATCTGTGCAGAAGAGACATTCTTATTAGCATTACTGTCATCAACCTGAAACACAAAAATTGTTACCAAAGAAAGCAATGGCATCACTGGAGAAAGTACAGATATGGTATAGAAGCCCCTGTGCTTTCCAAAAGCTAAGCTGCTCAGCAAAAGCAACAGAACCTGCCCCCCACTCCTGTCCTGATCTTCCAAACAGATAGATACCATGTTGAACTCTTAACCACGGAGCAGGGAAAGAGATTCTAACCACACAGCAACACCTCTTTAATCTGGTATCTTCAACTTCCAGGCAGAGAGAAAGCACTAAACCACTAACTTCATCTCCAAGAACCAAGTCCTCAAATACCGATGAGGATCATCTGCCTCATTCCTAGAAACAGTTGTGGGCAATGCTTCAATGCAGCAAGACCAAACATAAGAAAAACTCAGGCCCAAGATAACATCCAAAGGAAAGAACAGGAAGCAAGCTCAGGAACAGGAGAACCTCCCTAGATGAGTAATTTCCACAGCAAATGCCACACCAATTTTTTTCCTCAGTAATGCATCAGGTGGAAACAGCTCTCAAAAGGCTGTGTATGCCAGCTGGGCAAATAAGGCTGGCAGAAAACAAGTAATTTAATTCTAAACCAAAGCTGCTACAACCACCTACACAGTTCAAAGCATTGTTTCCATTATAGCAAGTTTTAACTACAAGACTAAAATGTAAAATTAATGCTATAGGCTGAAATTTACTAAATGGACACTTCTGTTACGTCAAAAATCTGGTCACTATTCCTTATACAGTATTGAGAATTTATAAAACTGGTAGTATAATTATTATGATATTCTAGCTCCAAGTAATTATCTACATAGTTTAAAAAAAACAAACTGGTTAAGTGCCCTACTAGAACTTTCTAAGATCTGCAGCTCCCTCCTGATTCCTGGCTGAATTGCAGACAAAGCATTGCCACCAATGATGCTGCCGCCACCACACCCCACTTCCAGGGTTACGTTAAAGCAACACAAAAATCCAAAGCAAGAACAATGCTGGTACTAGGAGTTGATAAAAACTTTGCCTTCCCTTTGGCCATTATTTTGCTCTCTCTTCGTGGGATTCACTCTCCTGCTGCTTATAAAGAGGCTCAGGCACTTACAGATTCATATGATGGGGGAACTGCTGGTATCTGAGGTGGATGAATATTGGGAAAGGCCTGATAAGGCCCCATTGGCAATCCATTGAAATCCGACTGCAAGAAGAAAAAGGCAACATTAGAGACACTGCGCCCAAATAGCAATTTTCTCAGGTTTGTGTATGGGAAGGAAGAACTATATATACACAGTAGGTCCTCAAATAATGTCGTTTCACTATAATGTTGAATGCCACAGGAAAGTAACTCTTGTTTCTATCAATTAGCTTATGGTAAAATTGGGTTTCATAATACATCATTTCACTTCAAGTCACAGAACTATCGACAACATTAAATGAGAACTTACTATACATGTCAATATATACAAGAGCCCCAAAAGGAAAAAAATTCAAAATAACCACATCATCAGAAGGATTCCAGATTTTTAAAGATCTGTAGCGAAAGGCTATTCAAATTACTATATCAATTGCTTGGGGACGATTATTAGACTTTACAACAATGATCATCATCTTGTACAAAAAAGGTTTCTGTACTTGGTAATAAGTGAGTGTATTCATTTTTTGGAAAAAGCTACTAATATGCCTGGAACAGGTCCCAAATATGTTCAGTGGGAAAAAAGTTTTCCTAGCACCCTCTCCAGATTTTCCCACTGCATTACCTATAGCTGAACCAGAAGACATTCTCTAAATCCCAATATTTTTTACACAATATAATTAAGCTAACACCAAATGTTACTGCTAAATCCTCTTGACAACCTATAACTCCTGAGTATATTTACAGAGCCAACTTGTCATCTTCTGTTACACTTTCAAGAAGTTACATCACATTTATATGTATACTTACTGGTCCCTTTGGAAGTGGGTATGAGAAAGGAGTACTTGGAGTGGGCATGGGCATGGGCATAGGCATAGGCATAGGCACTGTTCCATCAGGTCCACTAACGGGTGCTGTGAACCCGCCCCCACCTCCTCCTCTTCCAGGTCCCCCCTTCTTCACGTCATCTGTGAATCCAACATCAATAAGATCTGTCTCTACTCCAGGGGGAGCTTCTGCCTGAGAAAGAGAAATCCATATCATCACCCCATATCACAGGTGAGGTTCCTAGGAAGCAGACTGAGATGGACATTAGCATGAAGGAAGTTTACTGAGGTCTCTTGGGATAACGACCTGTGTGAAAGTGAAGGAAACAGGGATGGGAAAAGGAAGAAGTTGGGCTGTCATGCAATCAAAGGCTTCAGCCAATTCCCCAGGGAGCTCTGGAGCTAGGTAGGATAAGTCTACAGCAGATGTCCCCAACTGTGTCAGAACGGAAGTGTCTTTAAATCCCTGCATTGACCAGTTACTGAATACAAGCTGCCCTTAGGAAAGACTTTGAGTAAGGAAACTCTCTCTTCTGAGGGCCATTGCTAAAGGGACACTCAACTTTGTGTGAGATCCCAGTGACCAATACTCTCGAGCTTCTGTTCTGAAAATGTGGGATGGGGGCTGTCTAAGCAGCATACCAAAGCATCTACTAAACCCAACTGACCTTAAATGCTGAATAATTATTACTGTATTGGCATATTTACCCTCTTTACACTGTAAGCCTCTTTAGGACAGGGATCCTGTTTTTATATATCTCTATTCTCAGCTTCCTGTGAATTTTCTGGCACATCACAGGTGCCCTATAAGCATCAGGGTTGGTACCTTTTCAAAGTGCTTTCAGGCATTCATTTCATCTGATCCTTAAATACACTGAGATATGTAGGCACAATTATTTTTACCCAAAGGGCACTAACTGGGCAAAGGTTTAAACTTTCACACACAAACTGCAGTGCAGAGAATATGGTCAAAGAAAGTGGTGTCTAGAGACTCTTCCGTGTGCTCTCAAAGACACTAAACTTACCATGACCACAGAGTCAGGCTCATAGGGCACATTGTAGTTCTTGGCAATTTCAATCAGGTATCTCTCCACCAGGATTTTGGGCGGAGCTTCCACACTCAATTTGTGCATTAGCTGTAATTAGAAGACCCAGGTTTAAGATGCATCTACACCAACCAGCCTAGGTCTAACCTGTCTCACTTTTACATTTTGTTCCTCTCATTTTATAGGTAAACTGAGACCAAAAAAAGGGGGTTCAGACCAGTTAAATTATTTTTTTCTAGTCACAATGTACATTACAAGCCCCATGTCTCTCACATCATTTTCTGGTTCCATATGACCCAGGTGACCCAGGTGTTGGTAAAAGACTGCACTGCCTACCAGAGGGCCTTCCTTTCACCCTCACTATGAAATGTGCAACCCTAGATTAACCCTACCATATAGTGGTAACTATTAGATCACTGCAGGCAATAAATTAACCTGTCCCACCCTGCCCACTGCTTCACAGTAAACAAGTATATTCCTCACCCTGTCATTGACAGTTCCAATCTGGTTGGTCCTACATAACTTGCCATACTCCTTGCTATACTTGGCACAGAGCTGATCAGCAACCTACAGAGAAAAAAGAACAGTAAATAAAAGTGGAAACCGTTCCTATAGTCTGCTTCAAACTTACTCCTATTAACAGTAAACAGGCTTCTAATACAGGATATCCAAAGAACTGGGGTCTATAAAACCTTAAGGGGTACAACTAATTCACTTAGTTATTAGTTCATATATCCATTCACTGAGCTGCAACTATATGCAAAACATTAGAATAAGCATTATGATATACACTATAAATAATGATGAACAAAACCAGATACTGTTCCTATTCTTAGCCTTATAGTCCCTGGGGAAAACAGTCATTATTCAATCACACAGGTAAAAGTAAAAGTGCAGCTGTGATAAGTACTACCAAGGGATAGTGCACCATACTATCAACAGCTTATGACAGTAGAATCGGATCTGATAAAAAAATTTAAGTCAGGTAACTGGGTGGTGGGCACACAATACAATATACAGATATGTATTCTTGAACTGTACACTTGAAACTCATGTTATTAACAAATGTCACTCCAATAAATTTGATCTAAAAAAAAATATATAAGGTTCCCAGAAGAAAGTGATGCTTCATTAAGATATAAAGGATGATTAGGAGTTAACTAAAGGAGGAAAGTAAGGGCATTCCAGGAAAAGAAAACATGTGCAAAGGCCTCTGATGGAAAAGCAGGGCCATCAATCTTCAAGCCAAAATAGGATAGTGAGCCCCTAATGCAGATCCTGAGGGAGGAATGTGGTAGGAAATGAAGAAGGCAAGAGGGGGGCCAGACAATGCAGGGCCATGGAGGCCATATTAGTTTTGTTTCTACAACAAGCACAAGAGGAAGATACTAAAGGGCTTTAAAACAAGGCATAGTAACAGGATCAGATCAGCGTTTTGAACAGAACCCTCAGTTCTGATGGAATGGGGAACAAACTAAAGAAAACCAAAGCAAGTATAGGAAGAACATTCAGGAAGTTACTACAGTAGTCCAGGCAGGAGAGAGGACAGTGGCACTGGACCAGAGTGGTCCCAACACCTGGGAGCCCAGTGAAGGGGCACTCACTGTCCAATGTGTAGACTTTCAGGGATACCTGGTACTTATCAGCTTGTCATTTATCTTTTGATAATGTTCTGCTTTATATTAATGTAGCATTTTTAAATACTCGCTTATATTATTTTATCATTCTTTGTATATGGCGTTTGGGGTCTGTGGCATATTTAGGTATGAGATTATTTTCTTAATTAGCCTAGTTTTCTTCAAGTTTCTATGGTTTCATTTTTAAAAAACATGTAAATCTTTGTTTCATTTGGAATTAATCTTGATATAAAGGAGGAGTATAGGAGAAGCTAAAAATGAGGCTGAGATTAAAACTACAAGAAGCAGTTGCCGCTGACAGCTGTCAGGGGAGAGGGTTGGGCTGGGTGAGAAGGGTTTAAGCAAAGAAAAAATAAGGAAGACTCATCGACACAGGCAGCAGTATGGTGACGGGGGTAGAAGAGGGTAAAGGAGAGAGAAATGGTGGTGGGAGAAGACTTGACTTGGGGTGGTAAACACAATTATAATAGATCAGAAGATGTATTATAGAATTGTATACCTGAAACCTGTATAATTTCAATAACCAATGTCACCCAATAAATTCAATTTAAATTTTAAAAGTATTTCCATTAAAAAGCAGCAGCAGCAGTTGCCTTACTCTCCCATTTCTCTACCCACAAAACTATGTTTCTTCTCCCTACTGTATCAGAATACAGGTTTACTCTCTGGGGAGGTTAAACTAAAGGGGCTCTGGACTCCAACCACAGCAGAGAGCAGAGAAACTGAATTAAGTGTAGGTCTTCTACGAGAAAAGAATGAGACCCTGGGCTTCCTTCTCTCGTGGGCTCTCAGAAATGCTGACAGCCAGCTTATACCTCCCAGGTGTAGGATTCCTCTCTGAGGAAAATGGCCAACCCCAGGAAAGAAAACTAGTTCCTGACAGTCTGGAGTTCCCTTGAGAAAGGGCTTAGTCAGATCATTCAACAATGAAGGCATCTGGCAATAAGCCCCACCCAGGCATACAAGAGGTTCCAATTTGTCTCACTCATAAATATAAACCAACAGCCCAGTCAGGCGTGGCTCAGCGGTTAAGCATTAACCTAGGATCCAGGAGATCGGGGTTTGATTCCCGGTCAGGGTACATGCGCAGGTTGTGGGCTCGGTCCCCAGTTGGGGGCGTGCAGGAGGCAGCCGATCAATGATTCTCTCATCATTGATGTTTCTCTCTCTCTCCCTCTCCCTTCCTCTCTGAAATCAATAAAGATATACTTAAAAAAATAAAATAAAATAAACCAACAGCCAAGAATCACCAAAACTTTGAGAAAAGCCCCTACTATAAAAGTCTAAATCTAAGAATTAGAAAACAAACATTAAGAAAACAAAAATTAAAAAGAAACTGTAATATTCTCAGAAGACGCTGTAGCCATGAAACAGAAACAACAGACTATAAAAAAAATATTAAGAGAATTAAAAAGAGCTCTTAAAAACAGAAGAAAATCTCAAAAGATGGTAGATAAGACTAAGACAATTTTAGAGAAGACAAAGCAAATATACAAAAACGTAGAAAGAAAATGAGAGAAAATAACTCAACTGAATTGTTTTCAATTGAGTCAGTACTATACCCATGTGTGGCAGGCAGTTTTTTAGCTAATGTCTGTCTCTTCTGCTAGACTTTAAGCTACAAGTATAGGGCTGGTATCCTATTTTGCTCACCACAGTACCCTCAGTGCCCACCTAGCTTATAATATCTGTTCAATAAATATTTGTGGACTGCATGAAGCATAACATCTAAAATGCTATTTTAACTTTACTGGTTTACAGTTGTATAAGGACTTTTCTATTTGTACATACATAAACAACATTTGTCAAAAAATAAAAAAAATGGCACCACTTTAAAATGGAACCAGAGCTCCCATGCCAAGGGAACTGCTTTACATAACTTATGCCTCAAATCTTTGGAATATTAACAGGGCAAAATAACCTTTGGGCTGGGCTTAGGGCAATAATGTGTCCCAAAGAACTGTTTGCCAAGATAACAAGAAAGCAGTTATTATGACTACTGAACCGATGACTACCGAAACATTATTTAGAATTAACATCGTTATCTCCACCAATAGAAATGCCTTCCTTCTAGCGTTTCCCCCTTCCCCTTCTCATAAATACCCATTGCCTTTGTCTCCTAATCGAAACACTATTTGGACTTCTGCCTGAATCAGTGAGTCCCCAATAGCTATTCTTATTGATCTCAAATAAATGCTTATTGTCTCTTATTCTGAAAGGCCTTTTTTAAGTTAATATATTGCAATAAAAATAATTTTAGACAAAACTGAGGGTACACAAAACTTTGCTCCTTAGAAAAATTATTCAAGTTTCCAAAACACTCTTCTATTCTATGATATAAGGCCTGAAAAGGAGGAAGAAACAAATTTACAAAGCCCATGTCAAAGGCAGTATGGGAAGGGTACAAAATACCTGATCAAATAAGTAGAAATGACTTATGTTAACGAACCTTTCTAACAATATGAAAAACTACAGACATCATGAAACTGGTTGTACTCACTATTTTCAACTCGGCCACTTCTGACTGGAGTCGAGGAGCAGCCCAGATAAGTGTAGACACAGATTCAGCCAGACCAGAATCTAGCTCCCTAATTAAAGAAAAATTAATAAAATTTAACATTCTTTAAAGCAAACCAATAACCCTAACATTTGTACAATATATCCAGATAGACTCTAGAGCTATTCACAAATCTCATTAAATTTTCAATAACTAAACTTCTAGCCATTTCCATCATCCTATTTTACTTCTGGGAAAACTCAAACTAAATGACATGCCCAAGGTCACAAAGTCAGGAAATAGTCAGCCAAGACTCAAACTTAGGCCTCTTCGAATTCAGATTCTGTATTTTCAACAGTTGTCTACAATGAGATCAAACCTTCAAGTGAATAGTAAAGAAAAGGTACTTGGGTATGTCAAATAGTCCCTTAGTGCTCACCCCTGCACGTAGAAAGACCAGTATCACTCCTTTCTCAAATTCCACAGGTGATTTTATTTAGGTCTTGGATCAAAATATCTTACTTCATTAAGGTTATACAAGATAAATAAGTTCTAGAGCTCTGCTGAACAAACTGTACCTATAATTGACAATACTGTATTGTGTGCCTAAAAATTTTGTTAAGAGGGTACTTCCCATGTTGTGTTCTTACCAAAAAAGAAAGGGGTGCAGGGAATACAAGGAAACTTTTGAAGGTGATGTTATGGCCTTGATTGTGGTATTTGTGTACAGATGTGTGTATGTTTCCAAATTCATTAAACTGTATAAATTAAGTATGTGTAGTTTTTCTATATCAATTATACATCAGTCAAGAAAAAAAAAGAGACTAAAAAAACTTACTTCAGCCCAGTTGGCCATGGCTCAGCAATTGAGCATCGACCTAGGATCCAGGCGATCGGGGTTCAATTCCCGGTCAGGGCACATGCCTGGGTTGCAGGCTCGATCCCCAGTAGGGGGCGTGCAGGAGGCAGCCGATCAATGACTCTCTCAACATTGATGTTTCTATCTCTCTCTCCCTCTCCCTCTCTCTGAAATCAATAAAGATATATTTTTTAAAAAACTTACTTCATAGACTGAATGAGGCCAAACCTGGCCAGCAGCAGGTCACAATACAGCTCCAGGATCTCCATGGCCTCCACGAGGTAGTCTTCTCGTATAATGTGCTCCACTCGGATCCGAGCTCGTTCATCTTTCCCAGCAGCCAGGTAGTCAGCAATCTCTTTCCTCGCTTTTTGGGCCAGTTCGGCTAAGGCATAAATCCCACTCTAGTCACACAGCAGTAGTATACTGGGCCCAGGCCTGCAGGCAGACATCCACCCCAACAGAGACAAGTGGATGTTTGTTTCTACTATGTCCTCACTCACTCCCTTAGCAAATCTACTCTAGAATTTGCTACTCTGTCTAAGTGAGAATATTGTTTGTGTACCCAGAAATTTCAGGAGTCATGTTACCTATTCCATAGTAACAGTATGTCTGTTTCCCTGCAACAAAGTGATTCAATCTACCCAGATATATCCAAAGTTTAAAGGATATAGGATCCCTAACTTCATAGTACTTAGCCTGAAAGAGCTAATACCGAGATGCTAAGACTTAGTGATGTATTTTGGGAGAGAAAATATGGGCAATCATGCATTACTCACTTTTTTTTTTCTCCAATAGTTTAAGACGGTTTATGACTAATCTCAAATTGACTCGTAAACGCTCAGCTTTAAATCCAGAGCCCAGCATGCTGTGGTATTCTTCCTGTTAAAAGATTAAGAAGCACAATGACCATTTTTAAGTTAAAATTAGTTCAGAAACTAACACCAGTTAGAGGATGGATTATTTGACAAACCAGAATGGTTTTCTAATACAGGCAAGTGACATGACCTGATTCACATTTTTTAAAGGTCTTTTTGGCTGTTGTGTGGAGAACTGATTGGGGAGGATAATGACGGAAGCAAGAGGACAAAGGAGAAGGCTATTACTATATTCCAGACAACAGACGGAAGAGTTTAGACGGAGGTAGTAAGCAGGTGGTGGTGGGAAAGTGATTCGACTTGAGATCTATTTTGAAGGAAGAGCTGAAAGATTTTGCTGATAGGTATCTATGTATTGGTGTAGGAGTGGAGTGATAATAAAACAAAGAAGCAGGAAGGCTGCCTATTTCTCCCAAAAACCTCACCTTAAAACTGACAGCTTTGCCTCTAAGATCAGGACAAAAAAAGAATACCCACTCTTACCACTGTTACTCAGTACTACTGGATGTCCTAGAAAGAGCAATCAGGCAAGAGAAAGAAAGAAAAGGCATCCATACTGGAATAAAGAAGTAAAATTGTCACTTTTTGCAGATGACATACTATATGGAGAACATCAAAAGACTATCAGAAACAAACAAACAAAGCAAAGTTGCAGAATACAAAAATCAACGGACAAAAAAAATCCCTTGCGTTCCTATATACTAACAATGAAATACCAGAAAAAGAAATAAAAATAACTCCATTTGCAGTTGTAACAAAAAAGGATAAAATAACTCGAAATGAACCTAACAAAGCGAAGGGTTGGCACACTGAAAACTACAGACATTGCTGAAGGAAGCTGATGACACAAATAAATGGAAAGATATTCCGTGTTCATGGATTGGAAGAATCAACATAGTTAAAATGGCCACATTACCTAATGCAACACACAGATTTAATGCCACCCATCAAAATCTCAAAAGAATTTTTCAAAGAAATACAGGGTGTCCCAAAAATACGTATACACACACTTTGAATAATTATAAAGGCAGTGTTTATTAAAATACATTTCATTTTCAAACTTGAGCTATCAGCTGTTAAAGTGTGTATATATTTTGGGGGGATACCCAGTAGAACAACAACAAAAATCATCAGATTTGCACGGAACCACAAGAGAGCCCAAATAGCCAAAGCAATCCTGAGAAAAAATAACAAAGCAAGAGTTACCACATTCCCTGACGTGAAATTATAGTACAAAGCTACACTAATCAAAACAGTATGGTATTGGCAGAAAAACAGAGACACAGACCAAGAGAAAAGAACTGGGAGCCCAGAAATAAACCCACACATATACGGGCAACCAATTTTCAACAAAGGAGCCAAAAACATATGCTGGAGAAAGGAAAGCCTCTTCAATGAATGGTGCTGGGAAAACTGGAAAGCCACATGCAAAAGAATGAAAGTAGACTGCTATTTGACACCATCCTCAAAAGGGATTAAAGACATATATAAGACCTAAAACAATAAAATCTCTAGAAGAAAACATAGGTACTAAATTTACAGACCCTGGTCCCAGAGAGGCTTCTGTGAACATGACCCCAAAGGCAAGGAAAGTAAAAGCAAAAATAGGGACTACATCAAACTAAAAAGCTCTGTACAGCAAAAGAAGCCATGAACAAAAACAAAAGGCAACCAACCAAATGGCAGAAGATATTTGCAAACAATACCTCCAAAAAGGGGCTAATATCCAAAATACATACAGAACTCCTACAATTCAACAAAAAGAAAAAAAAAAATCCTATTTTTTAAAATGGGCAGAGATGCCCTTGCCAGTTTGGCTCAGTGGTTAGAGCATTGGCCCACAGACTGAAGCGTCCCAGGTTCGATTCCAGCCAAGGACACGTATCTCAATTGTAGGCTCAATCCCCAGCCCTGGTCAGGGTGAATGCAGAAGACAACCAGTCGATGTGTCTCTGACATCATTTCTCTCTCTCCCCTCCCCCCCTTCCACTCCCTCTGAAATGAAATGGAAAAAATATCTTCGGGTGAGGATTAAAGAAAAAAAAAAAAAGCAGAGAATCTGATCAGACACTTTTCCCAAAACATACCAATGGTCAACAAATATACGAAAAAATGTTCAACTACACTAGCTCTAAGGGAAATGCAAATGGAAACCACAATGAGAAACTACCTCACACCTGTTAGGATGGCCATAATCAATAAGACATGAAATAACAAGTGTTGGAGAGATGTTGATAAAAGGAACCCTCATACACTGCTGGTGGGAATGTAAATTAGTGCAGCCAACTACGGAAAACAGTATAAAGGTTCCTCAAAAATTAAGAATCTTAATTTGACCCATATGACCCAGCAATTCCTCTTCTGTGAATCTACTAAAAAAAGTTAAAACATTTACTCATAAATACATATGTATCCCTATGTTCACTGCAGGATTATTCACAGTGGCCAAGACATGGAAAAAACCTTAGTGTCCTTCGATGGATGACTGGATAAAGAAAATGTGGTGCTACATATATACTATGGAATATTACTCAGCCATAAGGATTAAAATACTGCCATGGATGGAGCTTGAGAGTATCATGCTCAGTGAAATAAGTCAGACGGAAAAGAACAAAAACATGTATTTCACTCATATGTGGGATATAAAACAGAAAGGAACAAACAAACATACAAAACAAACTCACAGACAACAGTATGGTGGTTACCAGAGAAGGGGGCGGGGGCAGGTTGAAGAGGGTAAAGGTGACAGGAGGAGACTACACTTTAGGTGGTGAGAGAAAAAGGCAATATATAAATGACATAATTTAGAACTGTGCATTTGACACATATAATGCTATTAACCAATGTCACCCCAATAAATTTAATTAAAATTTGAAAAATATATATTCTCATCTTATTATTCAAATCTTCCCTCTAAGTCTCAGCCTTTTAGAACAAAACTAGTGCCTACGGTCACAGAAACAGCATTAACACCTACTCTCATGCAAAGAAATAAAGGGGTAAAAAACCCAAGGAGGAAAAAAGCTGTTCTATAATATTTGACCACAGAAGGCTATTTACCATGACTTTCATTAAACAGTAGAGTTGCAATCAACGGAACCACTCCCCCCTCCACCCATGAGACTTCAGGGTGTATACTACCGTGCATTCTGTATCTAAGCAGCACAACTCCTATTTCTCTCAGTTAATTCTGAACTTGAACTTCAAAACATGTAATATCCAAACAAAAGTAAATGAACAGTAGACAAACCAAACAAGATGTCCAATATAAGGACGAACACCAGGAACAGTATTTGTCTGCTTGTGCATACCACTGATAGAAAACATCAGATGTATTTTCCTTTTGTGAAACTGCCTCCAGAAGCTTTTAAACTACATTAATAATTTACCGAGTCCCAGGACACAATGGGACTTACATATCACAGAGTATCTGGGTATCGTTATACTGAATTATGTACAATCCAGCCACCAGTGGGCGCGAGCAGCAGCTTTGCCCGAGTATGTAAGTTTCTCCTATTGAAGCTCGGACGAACCTGAACGCGGCGAACAGAAGGCCAGCGTCAGTTTAGGCGTTTGGGGCTTTCCCCCCACCGCCCAAAATTGGTTGTTGCTGAAGCTGGATGAGGGAATTCGTTATACTCTTTACTTCTGTCTGTCTGAAAATTTCGCAATACAAAGTTTAAAATAAATACGTAAGCATAACAGAAAAATTACAACCCCCAAGAATTAAGACCAGCTCATTTTAATTTTACTACCAGAGAAAGTGAAAATGGCTCTCCCATGCCTTTCCTAGTATTTCATTATCCAACAGACGCTCTTGCCTCCCGTTCCCCGGGAAAGTCTATGCTGGTCGAGCTCAAGGACCTCACCTCCGGCCCCCGCAGCACCCCGGAAGTGGAGCGCTGACAACACAAAGAGAGGGGCAAGGACAGGACCATGGGCTCCTCACAAGGTCTGTCTCATCGGACAGGCAGGGGGCTGCGAAAAGAGGCTGCAGCCGCTGTTTGATTCAGCTACAGAAAAGGGCAATTTCCTCCAGCCAAAGAGGCCCCAACTCTGGGCCGCCCAGGACACAGTTCAGGGACCCGCCGGACTCGGAGAACAGACCCTCGCGGACGATGGAGACAACCACGAAATCCTTCTGGGCCACAGGAAATGGGGCAGGGGTGTCGCTTCTCGGTGCGGAAAGTGCTGACCGAGCCCCTTCACCGACGGGCACCGGAGCCCAGGCCGCGGAGTTCCCACCCCAGGGAAGAGATGCCTCCGGACAGGGAGGACAACAGAAAAGTTTGGCGGCTTCAAGTATCCCGGCCCAGCGGTCCTCAAGCTGCTGGAGACCCTGTGACGCCCCCGGCCCCGAGCGGCCCGGCGCCGTAGCCTCTCCCGCCTGACCTCCGGCCTGACCCCCACACCCACTACCTTTCCCTTTCTCTTCACTTGCCACGTTAGGGTCGTTTGAACCCCGGGCTGGGGACTTCTCGATTCCAGGCGCAGCGCCAGGAGGAAAACAAAGACCCTTGACGCAGAGGATGCCACACTCACCGGACCGAAACCAGGCGTGAAAACGGCAGAGACAGACCGACTCCGGAACCCAGATTCAGCATCCAAGATGGCGGCTCCCTCGGACTGAGCACAGCGAGCTCGGGCGGAGGGATCCGCAGGCCGAGCTAACCGCTCGCTCCTTCCCAGGGATTGGCTGAGCGCCCGCCGCTCCCGGGACTCACGGCCCGGGACCTCGGCGCTCCCTCGCCCTGCTCCCTTTGGCGCCCGCGCGGCCAGGGACTACTTCCCGCGGCGGAGGCACGGGTGCGGCGCGTCCCGTCAGTCACCCGGGATCGCTACCTGAGTCACCTGCTGGGCGTGCGGAGGCTCTCGCAGGCCTCGCCCTGGGCACGGGGAAACTGGCGACGGAATTCGCGGCCGGTGCCTGGTTCCGGATTGTTCCAGTCCCTGGAAAAACCGGCTCCGGTACTGCCTTTCACCCTCCCGCAGTTACTCCTTGAGATTTGCTCCCTTCTCTCGCTCCACTCCGCTCGCCCTGGGGGCTTTACCCCTGAGTCTCGGGTTCTTTCCCGGCGTGCAGCGGCCGAGCACGTTTCGGCTTCTCTTGACTTTTTCATCACCGCCGTGTAACCGACCCTTCCCCCTCCTCCCTAAGTCGCCCCCCGTCTCTCCATCCACGCACTGGTACCCCTGCCCCGCTTCTCAACCAAGTCTGATGGCTCTTTCAAGCAGAACCTCTACAGTCTGTATTACTTAATTCCGAAGGATGTTTCCTTAGCACCGCATTCTCTAGGAATTTACCGTATCTACGGATTGAGAGGAAAGTTCTTCGTTTATCTTTGTTTGCAACTTGAAAACCATCCTCTCGGCTTAGCCTTGGGAGGGGCTCCCGGGGCTCTCGGCTTCACCCGGAGGCAGTGCCGCCCCCTGCTGCAGAGGGTGCATCTACCCGGGACAAAATTGTGGTTGGCTGACTTGCGATGCGGTCATGTGACAGGCATGAAACTGTGTTGCCATAGTTTCATAGTGAGGTTTACATGAATTTAGAAATCAGGTGCCTTTATAACACTAGCAGTATTTCTAAATAAAACCAGGTTCCAGAACCTGAAAGTTCACGGTGTTTGGTGCCTTTTAAATGTGTTGGGGGCGGCGGGGGGGGGG